TTTCAGGTCACAGCCTATCATTTAGGGAGGTCAAGGTAAGAACTTGATGTAGAAACCTAGAGGCAGGAACCATACGGGAATGCTGTTTGCTGGCTTGCTTCCTGCCTTGCTTTCTTATATGTTCCAGGACCAGATAACCTACCCAGGGATGGCACCGTCCATAGTTGTTGTTGTTGTTGTTGACTCCTTTTTGGGAGGGCCACCACCCAGCTCCCAAATAAATCAGACATGGAGGCTTATTCTTAATTATGAATGCCCAGCCTTAGCTTGGCTTAGTTTCTGGCCAGGTTTTCTTATCTTAAATTATTCCTTCTGTCTTTTCCCTCTGGGATTTTCCTGTTCTCTTACTTCCATAAATCTTACTCTTACTCTGGGACTTGCTGTGTAGCTGGGTGGCTAGGTCCTGAAGCCCTCCTCCTTCTCTGGCTCCTTCTTCCTTCTTCTCCCTCCTCCCAGATTTCTCCCTCTATTTATCCTCTCTGCCTGCCAGCCCCGCCTATTTCTCTTTCCTGCTTTGCTATTGGCTGTTCAGTGCTTTATTAGACCATCAGGTGTTTTAAACATGCACAGTAACATAGCTTCACAGAGTCAAACAAATGCAACATAAAACAAAGGTAACACAGCTTCAAATAATATTCTACCACATATAGTGAAATGGGTGCTCTAGTATCAATAAAGAATCAAGACCATCCCCCATAGATTGCCAATCTGATCTGGGCAATCCTCTAATTGAGACTCCCTCAAATGACTCTGGGCTGTGTCAAGTTGACAGGTGTCCCTAACTAGGACAGGAGATTAACCTGGATCATCCAGTGTACCCTAAATGTAATCAAATGTAACCTTAAAAGACGGGGAAAGTGGAAGACAGGACACATACACGAAAGATTAGACAATGAAAGTACAGGGCACTGTAGATGTAATTCTGAATTGTTTTATTAAATAAGAAACACAGAGCCAAATTCAGAGTTAAAAGCCCCAGAGGTCAGAGAGCAGTAGCTAAGAGCTGAGACCAAGACCACCTTCTTACCCCTCGCTGCCGTCCTTCCCCTGAGAAAGAGAGCTACTTCCTGTGTGTCTGTCTTTTTATTGACTTTCTGTTCTGCCTTCTCATTGGTTATAAACCCAACCACATGACCTCCTCATCACTGCCTGCCTATACAGACCTCCAGGTCTCTATGGTTGGTATTGAGATTAAAGGCGTGTTTCTCCATGCTGGTGGTGTCCTTGAACACACAGACTCTGCCTGTCATGTGATCAGGATTAAGGGCGTGTGCTACCACTGCCAGAGTTCTACTATGGCTTGCTATTAGCTCTGACCCCCAGGCAACTTTATTTTTAACATACAAATAAAATCACATTTCAGCACAAATAAAATATCACCATAGGGCACTTCATGCAGCTTTTGCAACCACTAAGTCTGTGGCAGTTTATTATAGCAGCTAGGAGAAACAAGTACAGAGACACAGAAAAGCAATTCCTGAAGAGGACATCTCACTGTTGATTGTATATTTGCCACTAAGCAATCCAAAAGAATATGTATCTGCTAAAGAAAGTGTGTCTTGGCCAGGACACCTCAGAGAACTGTTCTGGGCATCTCATACTAGAGTTTTAACAAAAGAACTAGGCAGCACTGTGAAGAGCAATTACTAACAGAACTATAATAATATAAGTTAGAAGAGAAAGTGAATCAGGTACCTTTTGGACTTACCAAAATAGGATAATGGAATTATTTTCTCTGAATTTGTCAAATGCAAATGGACTATACATTGTTTAGGTATTTATTGCTTGTATATATTGTATATAGTTATTGTACTTTTTGTGTATAGTTTTTCTTATGTTAGTTATCACTTTTTTCCTTTTTTCTTTTTATTAGAATAGAAAGGGGAAATATGGTGATATTCTATTTGTGCTGAAATGTGATTTTATTTGTATCTTAATAAATAAAAGTGCCTGGGGGTCAGAGCTAATAGCAAGCCATTTAGCAGAAGTCTGGCAGTGGTAGCACATGCCCTTAATCCTGATCACATGACATGCAGATCTCTGTGTGTTCAAGGACACCACCAGCATGGAGACACACGCCTTTAATCTCAATACCAACCATAGAGACCTGGAGGTCTGTATAGAAAGGCAGTGATGAGGAGGTCATGTGGTTGGGTTCACAACCAATGAGAAGACAGAACAGAAAGTCAATAAAAAGACAGTTACACAGGAAGTAGGTCTCTTTCTCAGGAGAAGGACGGCAGCGGCAGTGGGTGGTAAGAAGGTGGTCTTAGCTCTTAGCTACTGCTCTCTGATCTCATGGGCTTTTAACTCTGAATTTGGCTCTGTGTTTCTTATTTAATAAAACCGTTCAGAATTACATCTACAAAGAGCATCATGCATTACTGAATTATGCAGCCCAAATAATAGAGTGGCTTGCATAACTGCACAGGCTTTCTCCAGTGCAGTGGTTCTCAACCTTCCTAATGCTGTGATCCTTTAATACATTTCCTCATGTTGTGGTGATCCCTCCAACCCAAAATTATTTTGTTGCTACTTTATAGCTGTAGTTTTGCTACTGCTATGAATTGTAATGTAAATATCTGATATGCAGGATATCTCATATGCGAGCCCCAAAGAGGTCACAACCTACAGGTTGAGAACCGCTGCCCTAGATGATGTACTGTAACTGTAGGCTGAAATTTTCTTTCCTCCCCATGCTTTTGGTCATGTCTGTTTATCACAGCAATCATTGTTACAGAGTAAAATTAAGCCACAATTTCAACTCTATTATGAGGTCTGTGACGTCAAGATTTCTGAATCTGGGGAAATGGACTAGGGGACTCCCAAAATAATTCTGCCTTGACTGATGGAACATAACAGCATTCTGAGCCCCAAGCATGAGTGCCAATTCAAAGATGATGTCTAGTAATTCTCACCACCCCAGAGCATTCTTTTTTCACACTAGCCTGCCAGTGCCACACTTTGCACCATGCATGTCCCTCAAAGGCTCTTAGTAAGACTGTGGAACCTTAGCACTTTCCTTGCTCACTCTTGCTTCAGATCCATGAAGTAATAGCTTTGCTCTATCACACTCTGCTCTGATGATGTGTTGTCTTGCACAAGCTATCAGCAACAGGGTCAAGTGAGCCTCAACTAGTGTGTCAGAAGAATAGGAACCTGAAAGAGCCACACCAAGATATGAAAGAAGCCAGCTGACAAAAAAAGATTGGAAACTCTCCCCACCCAGGCTATGTGTAACAAATGGTGCTTGAATGAGTAAAGCCCACATGATAAAAATGTGGACCAGGTACACACCGTGTCAACTGTCATGAATCCACAAGCCTCACGGCCTGGTGCTTTTGAGCATAGGCTTTTCTCCACATCACGAGGCCCCTTCTTTTTCCTCCCTCAGTAAATTTTCTGTTTCTATTTGTAATTGTGCATTCCTGTGCAATCCTTTGTCCTGGGACACAAGAATCTGGACACTTTAGCAAGTGCTCTCTGAATCCATATCCCTGTCCATTATCACTAAAACGTTCCAAACTGTGTGCCTAAGGCAACTGTTCCTTTTATAATTCTCTCGGGCACTTTGCTGTAATGATGGAGAGCTAACTAACAAAGTCACACTCCTAAAGGGCTGCAATTTTTAAGTGTGAAGGTTTACGGTCTAGAGCCATGTGAATGCTACAAGATCCTAGCTGGTCTCTCCAATCAGAAGGCTCTGTTTTGACTGGAGTTAGTTGAGTGTGGGTGTGATTCCTGTCAATTGTGAGGAATCAAGTCAGACTTTGAACTAGTAATTCTAGTTTCTTCAGTGGTAAAACATGAATTCTGTAGTAGGCACTGGGTTTTTACTCTCACAGATCCCATAGCCAGTCAACCACAGCCAAGCCTACAGGTCAAGGCATTTTTATCTGATATTAACATATCATGCACACACACACACACACACACACACACACACACACAAAGTGGAGCTACTCGTGTTCAGTTGATATCACTGGGAGGCCTGCTCTTTTCTGAAGGTAAATGGAGGAGCAGTGGATCAGGGGGAGAGGGAAGGAGGCGGGTAGAGATTGAGAGGAGTGGAGGCAGGGAGGCTGCAGTTGGGATGTATTATATGAGAGAAGAATAAATAAAGATGAACAAACAGAGAAATAAGAGGGGCTACTAAGAATGGTTAACAGTTTACTACCTGCCACGGTATGTTATTTAATACTCCACATCCTTTCATAGCTCTCAGAATGAAACCACAGAGTTCTGCTGAGGTCTTTTAGGTCCTAGGTGACTGAAGCCCCGACTGTTCCAGATCTCTCTGTTCAGACGTCTAAGTCACACCCATCTTGCTGCAACTCTCCTCAGCTTGGATGATTGAGCTTCTTCCAAGGAGCCTCTCTACATCATTCCAGACTCTACCTCGTTGGTCTGCACACCAAGGCCCACACTCCCATATGCCATGTGTCCTATAACTTCGTGTACGTTTCTATTGTACGTTTATCACTCGTAATTCTTCACGCTCCTTCTGTGCTGTTACTCTGTGAGGCCATAAGCCCAACGCAGAACCCATTTCTGTCCTGTTCCCCTTGCAGAGCGACAAGGTGCTGGCTAATCCTGGATAGACTTCTCAGATCTAGACTTCTCAGATCAACATTACTGCCCATTGATTTTCAAGCGCACAACAGAGCTCCGACAGCCACCTTTATTAACTTGCTCCAAGTCTGTCAAGCCAAAGAGGAAGGAAGTAGGGCTCTGGGTCTGTGATCCTTCAAGCCAGAGAGGGCTACCACTGAGGGAAACCTCCTACTAGCAAAATGACACGATTCCCTCCTGCTTTACACCACCAGGGAGCAAGGAAACATGGCATCAGTCGTCACAAAGGTTTGTCAACGTTCTCGAGTTAGGATGCCTGCGGTACAGCAGCCAACCAGCAGCCCGCCCGCGCCACGGCCTTCCTTATGCGCAGGCGCACACCGATCGCTTCCGCTCTAGGCGGGGCAAACTCTGGGCGTGCCCACCGCGGGGGCGTGGCCTGCAGGCGGCAGGGGCGTCCACCTCCCCGGCCGGCACGGGGATGGAGCTGGGTCTCCGTGGGCGCCCGGCCTCCGGGCAGGGGCTGGCCTCGGAGACCCCAGCGACTGCAACAGCAGCTTCCGGTGCAGTGGATTCCCGCGGCTTCCTGTTGTGTCTCTACCTGGTAGGCTTTTTGGTGAGTGCCCTCCCTGGGGTTGGGAAATAGCACTGAGTCTGTGTAAAGACAAGGGGTACTGGAAGGGCTGCACTTCCCTCGAGTTCCTGGGGATTTGTACATCTCCGCCCCGGAACCTGAATTGTGTCGTCAGGTGACCTCAGGTGTGGCTCCGTGACCCAGACACTTTGGAGGGTGACTCCAGTTGCTGTGTGCAGCGGCCGCTGCAAGGGCAAAGGACAGAGGCTGCAGCCCCTAGTAAGCTAAGGACACAGGCCTTTCCTCCACAGCAGGGGTCGGGAAGTCGCTGCTGATAACCCCATCTACACGGGCAGCCTTGAAGTTTGAAATTGAAAGTCACAATGAATTGCACACAACTGCCTTCTGGCAAAATGGCACGTGTTTTTGTTTGGTTTAACTTACATGCATGTGTATATTGGTTTGGGTCACAAGTAGTCCTTTCCTTTGTAGAATGACGTCCTAGTTAGGGTTTCTATTGCTATGTGGAAACACTGACCAAAAAACAAGATGGGGAGTAGAATGACGTCCTAGTTAGGGTTTCTATTGCTATGTGGAAACACTGACCAAAAAACAAGATGGGGAGGAGAGGGTTTATTTGGCTTACACTTCAGCATTGCTGTTCCTCACTGAAGGAAATTAGGACAGGAACTCAAACAGGGCAGGATCCTGGAGGCAGGAGCTGATGCAACTCGGCTATGGAGGAGAGCTGCTTACTGGCTTGCTTCCGATGGCTTGCTCAGCCTGCTTTCTTATAGAACCCAGGACCAGCCCAGGGATGGCACCACGCACCATAGGCTGGGTCCTCCCCCATTGATCACTAATTGAGAAAATGCCTTACAGCTTGATCTCAAGGAGGCATTTCCTCAGCTGAGGCTCCTTCCTCTCTGATGACTCTAGCTTGTGTCAAGTTGACACACAAAAACCAGCCAGTACAAATGAGAAGCTTAAGAAGAAGTCATTCTCCAGCCATCCATTCTCCTATTAATTTAATGTTCGTGAAATTTCTGGATGCCCGCTATGTGATACGTGCCCTGGAGCTCTGATGCCATAGGCAGCTTCTGCTTTCAGAGAATTTTACAGTCTTAGTAGTAAGGTTAAGTTGGTAATCTTGGACCATTTAAAGTGTATGGGGGGGGGGGACCCTAATTCACCCTCATTCCTCTTTCAAGCATAGATTTGTTTGCTTGGTTCAATAGGCCTGGTTAGAAGTTCGTCAATGGCAACAGCTTGAAGAAGCACTCCATAGGATTTCCTCATCAGGCAAAGGATCCATTTTGTTGAAAGGTCAAAGGGAGACGCTTTGTGGCTAGTATCTGATCAGCACTGGGCCTGATAAACAGGAACTGTTCTCTGCCCAGATGAAGTTAGCCTCCTATTTTTTCCCAGACTCATGGTTCTCTAGAATTAGGAGTTAGGATGCAGAACCATGTAGGTGAGGAACAGAAAGGCAGTTTCTGGTCAGTTAGTAGACGTTCAATTAATATCTATTAGAATCTTAAAGAAACGGTGCCTAATGTTCTTTACAGAGCCAGGAGACATTGAGGACCATGCCTTAGAGACGTCTCTGTCTACAGTGAGCTTTCAGGTTCTGAGACACACAATTTCCCTTCCTAGGTTCCATGCCTTTGACTTGAGAGACTAAGCTGCACCCCCCACCCCACCCTTCATTTTTTTTTTTTTTTTATTTTTTGGTTGTGTTTTTAGAATATAGATGTTGCTTACTTCCATTGTGTGTGGTCTAGTTATTTGGAATTCAAAGGTAGTGATTGTGCCTTGTTCTGAGAAAGGTTTTTGACTGCCATCTACTTGGGGTGATGTGTATCCCCAGCCAACTGAGATGCCATCCACCTGGGGTGATGTGTATACCCATCCTACTGAGGTGCCTTCCACCTGGGGTGATGTGTGTCCCCAGCCCACTGAGATGCCATCCACCTGGGGTGATGTGTATCCCCAGCCCACTGAGATGCCACCCACCTGGGGTGATGTGTATCCCCAGCCCACTGAGATGCCATCCACCTGGGGTGATGTGTATCCCCAGCCCACAGAGGCTCTATTGCAAAGGGCACCTAGCTTACTTTTGCCAGATGAAAAGGACTCAGGTTATCACTTGGAACATCCAGACTTTACCCAGAGGGTAACATCAACTACCAGGAGCCAGAATTGAGAATAGTTTGAAAATTACAGTGAAATCAAGTAGTTCATACATCATTTATTATGTGCAGCCTTCCAGCACAGACTTGGATAGTCACAGCCTCGCTTATGCTTTCCATATGCTGTGCACATGGTAAATCTAGTCTGATATAACATTTTGAGAAATGTAATAATAGATTCAAGAGAATAATATATTAGTATATCTTGAGGGAAATACATATGCTTTCCAAATACTTTTTAAAAAAGATTAGGGATTTTTTTCAATGAAAAATGTTGTATAGAATTTGATCATATGCAGCTTTATATATCTTTGAAGGAGCTAATGCTGACTTATTAAGTAACATCCATGGGGTATTATGCACAAGTTAGTTACTACTTTCATATATTTAGTGACCCCAAAAGCTTGAGACACTGATTTCTAAGTGGAAGAGGAAGGGCATGAGATTAGAGAAGTCGTTTGCCAAATGTTCTACTTTTAGCTCTTGACATTTTGAGGTTTTAATTTGTTTCACGGGGAACAGTAAGCTTATGGATTTGGCTCATTTTGCTAAGATGGTGCTGTGTTGCAGGAGAATGTTTCGAGATACTTGATTACACTGTGTAAAGATATGTCACTGTGATTGGTTTAATAAAATGCTGAACAACCAATAGCTAGGCAGGAAGTATAGGTGGGACTTCCAGGAGAGAGAACGGAAGGAGAAGAGATGAATATAGGCCTGGAGAGAGGCTCCAGAGGACACAGAGAGGAAATTGGTGGTACAAGATGGAAGAGAAGCAAAAAGCCATGAGACAGAACATACATTAATATAAACGGGTTGATTTAAGTTATAAGAGCTAATTTGAGACAAGCCTAAGCTAAAGGCCAAACTTTCATAATTAATAAATCTCCCTGTCATTCTTTGGGGCTGGAGGTAGAAAAGAAAGTCCATCTACGGTTCTAAGGTCTATGACTTGATCCCCTTTTCTCTAGACACTTGCTCAATTTCTGTCCCCTCTTTCCAACCCGTAGCAGGTGACAGTCCATCTTCATTGAGATAACCCACCAGCAGACAAACACTGGGTTTCATTCCCTGTGAAAGGCCCTGAAGCTTGAATATATTCATCAGTTTCCATTGGGAAATGCCAATGCCCAGGGAAAGGTTAGGTGGCCCCACCAAGCTGACTTCCCTTATGAATGGTTGCAACAGGTATGAAAAAAATGAAGGTTCTGTAGAAAGTACAGATCGGGAAGGAATTGCTCATTGTAGGAAAGGAGAAGAGAGTTTAGATTCCAACTTCCTGAGAAGAAGGAGTCTGCAACCAGCTTTCCTGGTTAAAAAAAAAAAAAAAAAGAGTTCTTTTAGACTCATAAGGTGCTAAAATGATATCAGTAGCTGTTGCTGATGAGCCTGTGTTTTCATAATTACCATAGTCTATGGATATCAATAGTTCACCAACCTTCTGTTTTCCTCATGCTTCCCTGAGCTTATCAGGTATTGACATGTGTTAGATCTAAAACCTAGTCTGGTGGAACATGCTTGTAATATCAGTGCTCAGGAGACTGAGGCAAGAGGCCATCCTGGGCTCCATAGTAAGACCATCTCAAAAAGTGCAGGCTCTGGTCCATTAGTTTCTTTCAGTAACTGGAGGTTCTTACTGAAGCAAAAACCCGAAACAGTCCCTCCTTCCTTATCCACATAACACCAGGTTTCTTCAGTTCTTTCTTGCTTTGTTTCAGAGGAGGGGCTTCCGTGGCACATCGTCCTCAGGCCAGTCACAAAGAGGCTGCAATGAAAACTGATCCTAGATCAAGAAAGCTCGGGGGTTGTAGACTTACCTGGATTCCATCGTATACCTAGCTATTGTGGCCTACTATTATGGTTCCTTCTTGGCTGCGAAGTTTAGATATGGGTTTGATGTTGGCATCTGATCGACAGCTTTAGAATCACCGGTTGAAATCCTGCTGAGCTTCAGCACTAACTGGAATTCTTTAGACTTTGGACTTTGGTTTCTCACAGGACTTGTTCGGTGTCAGTATGGTTGTCCCACTGTTGAGCCTTCATGTCAAGTCCCTTGGAGTGAGCCCTGCAGTTGCTGGAGTGGTGTGTAAGTGTTGAATACTGTTTATTTGCAAAACACCGACTTTCCAATCCTCTGACAGTAACTCACCCAAAAGTAAATAGGAAATGAAATGACTTGCCAAAATATTTCTAAATACCACCGTGGAGTAAATGGAATTCATCTTTTCCCGGACCACCTGTATTCAGAGGGGTTTTGATAGTTGAGTGATTTCCACATTCCACACTGATGGAAGCTCTGCTTCCTGGGCCTCTGATAATTTGGGCTATATATGTCGAAGGCGAGGCATGGCCTCCTGTCCACAAGCGTAGTTCTGGGACTTAATATGAGACCAAAGGGGCAATCTATGAAGTCATACCTGATGGCCAAGGGTTTCAGTGGTCACCTTGGGAAACCAGTTCCAAGCCTCCCACACCACCAGCACATCTCAGAAGCCCATGGAGTTTCTGCCCATGCAGCATGCAGTTCTGTCCCAAAGTTGTTGAATTGTGAAAGAGGCAGGAGTATCCAGGGCTTAGAACTGTGCATGCTCAATCCTGAAAAACCCTTTAATGCCAGCGGCCCTTGAATCCTTCACAAGTTGGAAAAGAAATTAGGCATTTTTCTACAGCACCTTTGTTGTAGCCTGATCTCTTCTCTATTTATTAATTCCCTCAATGTATGTACATTGAATTATGCTGACCACCGGGTAGCATATAGACCTTTAGGAAAAGCCAAACAGGAGGAGGGGGAGAAAGAACTTTAGTTATATAACTAAAGCTTCTTCGTTTCAAATTTTGCTCATTGTTTAACTGCTCTTTGTTATTGTTGTTTCCATGTATTACTTCTGGCATTTCCACTCATGGATCTAATGGCCTCGCTTATCCTCTTACCTCTAAAATACTTGAGATCTATGAGATGGTGAAAATTCAGCGCCCGGCCGTGGTTTTCCGGGGTTCTGATTTTCACTAGCTAAGACAGCAGGGCTATGTTCAGGGTCCCTCTGACTGAATGGCCCTTGCCTTCATTCTCCTGCTTGCTCTCATTTTATTTTGAAGACTGTTAGAATTTTTTGCAGGAAGGTGTAGGGCAATTTAGCTTCCTGAAGATACCCTTTCCGGTTAATTTTCTGCTGCTTTCTACCTGATGCTTACCACAGCCATTTAGCCACGCCCAGCTGCCTTTTCTAATATTACCGATGTGATTGCCTTTCAGGCTCCTCCTATGGCATTCTGCAGCTCTTCTCCAGCACCTTTGTGGTAAGTTGTCCCCTATCTGGCAGCCCGTCTCCAGTACGTAGTCACATGCTGTGGGTCGTCCACTATGGTGCTTATAACATGGAGGGCTTGAGGGTTACTGAGTAGTGGATGTACAGGTGGTTAGAAAATAGCCTTGTTAGATAGGAGACAGGTAGAGTCCTGTCCTCCGCCCTTCTTTGTCCCATGGGAGGATGTGTGCTTCAAAGACTGAAATGGCTTCTTCTGCGGGGCACACCGAGCCACTAGTACACCTTGGGGAGAAGGGGAATTACATGTATAGCATGCTGTCCCTGTGCTTCAGGGCTGATTTTCGTACTGGAGAAAAGAGTGTCAACAGAAGTTACCACCCCCCTTATTTGCTTCATGTTATCGACAGCAGTCAAGCCCACCTGCATTGCTAGCCTCCAATATGGAAGTGTGTATGGACACTGAGCTAAGTGCCCCGTTATATATATATGAGAGCACTCGGTAGAAACCATTTTAATTGATTGATTAGACATCCGAAAAAAAATGGAGAAGAGGGATTCAGAGGTGGTTTTCTCCCTCTTCCGAGCCATTTGGTAGTCTGACATCCAGAGACTGTCATTGAGCATCCCTGTCTGTCTCCCTGTGCCTGCCCACTGTGGGCATGCTGAAGACCTCAGCGTCCATCAGTTCAGGAGGTTCAGGAGTCATCTACTTATTCTCATAGATGGGCAGCCATGGCCGATCGAATCAGCCGGCTAGCAGCTCACATTTAGGGAACTTGTGTTTTCCCTGGCGCTTCCTTGTTAAGGGATAGTTAATTTAAAAGAAATGGAATGACATTCTACAATAAATTGTTAAATAGGGAAACAATTACTCCCTGATTTATCTTTCTTTCAAGTTTTTAAGACACTGAACTGGTAGGTACTGAAGAGAGGGCTCAGCAGTTGGGGGCACTTTCAGAGGCCCCGGACTCAGTTCTTAGCTTTACATGACAGCTCAAACCTGCCTGTAACTCCAGGGATTTCCAGGAAATACAATGTCTTTTTTTTTTTTTTTCTTTAACACAGGTTGTCTCTATGTAACTTTGTGTCCTGGAAGCTCCTAGTAGACCAGGTTGGCCTTGAACCTACAGAGATTTGTCTGCCTCTCAAATGCACTCTGCCTAGCCTGATCCCATGCCTCCTTTTGCCCTCCTCAGACACTGCATGCAACTGTGACACAGACCTCTGTACAGGCAGAACACTCAGGCACATACAATAAAAATAAATACATCCTTTAAAAATGTTAAGTTTACGTAACACTCAAGTCTGTTCTCATTTGAACTTTGTAACATTCCAGTACATACCTCCCTTTTATAACCGGAGGAAATTAAGACTCAAGGTTTAAGTAATTTAACTCCATCACCTAATCTCAGATTCCGGAATGAATTTTTTTTTTCCTAAAAGTCTTCAGCCATAACTCTGCTAGCAGAAAAACGTGAATAACAGGGCTGAGGTGTAGTGTGGTGTTCACGTGCCTTAGCATGCTGGGCTCTCCCTGGGCACTCCTCGGACACAGTCAATAAATAGACAGATGACTAGAGTCACTTGTCAGGCAGGATGTGTGTTTCACACTCTTGTGAGGAGAAGATTTAGGGAATTTTAGCAAATACTCTGCTGCTTCATTTGGAAACTCAGTCCCAAAGACTTCCTGTGTCTGGATCTCAGATCTAGGAGCAGAGTCGATGGTGCAGGCTAGTCATACAATGTTCCTCTCCTTCCTCGGCCTCTGACCTCCTAGGATGAAGATCAGGCATGGTTAATCAATTGGTTTCTATCTCTAGTGCTTATCAGAGCAACTGGCAGAGAACTGGCATTTATGAATGTGAGCTTTCATTGTGGGCTCTGCCCATACCTGCACTTTTATATTGACCTTTCATTGTGTGTCTTTACTTAGAAAGTACATCTCATATATCATATGGCTGGAATTTAATGAAAACCTTCCTTAGAGAATTTTAAGGTAGGATACCTAGTTTAAATGCCCCCTTTAACCAATAATTTCATTAGTACATATACATATTTTAATTATACATTTTATAAAAACATTTTAAGAACAGATCTTTACAAAGAAAGATGCTTTGTCGAATTAGGTGAATTTTTTAAATCTATGCATTTTCATAAAAAATAACTAGCATTATCAAGCATGTATAACTGTGAGGCCCTGTTCAGAGTATCTCATTTAATCCTCCTAACTGTCCCCAGAGAGTGGCTTGAGGTCTTTACGGGTTATCCAGGAGTCAGGCAGGAGCAGTGACCTCCCTGACCCTCCTTAGAAAACCCTCATTTCAGGCTTATAGTAAGTGTTGAGGGGGCAGATCGTTCCTGGGGTAGATGTTAATGGTGGCGAAACTGAGGTTTAGTGAGGTTAGCCTGTGTCTCAGGTCATAGTCTAGGGAGTGATAAGTGTTCAGGGATGAACCCAGACAGCCTGGCCCGGAGCCCAGGGTGTGGAGCTATCTGATTATGCCGCTAACCCATGACACAAGGTGACCTCATGCTTGGAAGAATGTGGAGGAATCTCTGAAACCCTTTGAAGTAAAGACCAGGCCGGTGGGGGAGGGGGGGGGTTGATGACATTTGTAGGGTGTCTGTGTTTGGGAGGACTTACCATTGGAATGTTTTACAGAGCACTGTGAAGGATTTAGTAACCATTTATATCTTTGTTTAAGTACGCATTTAGACTTCCTAAGGTGATCAGGTATGCCTGGCTTTTGGCAAGAAGAAAGGTGGGCTGAGGTTCCCTGATTAACTGGGCAGGGTGGGGAGGGTGGCTCCTCACTATGTCTTGAAGGAAGCAGGACACAATGTCAGCTTCTTCCCAGCCCGGGCAGAGGAAGAACAGGGCACTGCTCAGTTCACCAAAGGTCATTGGGGGGAGGGGGTGTCAGTGCTCTGTTGCAGTTGGTGTTTAGTGAGCTTTATTTGAAGGCAGATGTACTTTCTTGAAGCAAGGCCTCACTCTAAGTCTCAGTGTGTTGGGGTGGGGGGGGTGCGCAGGATGAAGACGTCCTGTTTTGCTGAATTATTTTTGATTGATCAGATGGGTATGGGCCTGCTGGTAACAGCTACTTTCCCAGTGGAAAGGGAGAACTCGAAGCTTGCTGTGGCAAGCTGTTAATGGGTCTGAACAGCCACCAGACACCTGTCTGCTGCTCCTGCTGCTGCTCCTGCTCCTGCTCTCCTTATTCAGAACTACTCACACCCCAACACCTTGGGGATGTTCTCTACAGGAGGAAGAGAAGGAAGAGCTAACAGGCTGACAAACCCTGGGGCGGTGACTTCCCACACGCTGACTAGCTCTTTCATCCACTACAAGGCTTGATTTTTTTTTTTAAGCTAGTGTATGGCTGGGAGGGAATGGAGGAAGGATAAGAACAGTCAGAGAGCTGGTCTAGACCCCCCGCCCAGCTTGCCCTTCACCCTAGGCAGGACGCCATCCCCCTCTGGGCCCTCTTTCTCCCACTCTGGCCTGTGATTGCATAGGTTTGGGACCATGATGGTTTTTTTTTTTTTCCTATTCACTTTCTTTTTCAGTATTTTTTAAAATTTCTAAACAACCTGGTTTCTGAGAGGAGTGTAGTTTCATAAAACAATAAAAATGAAGACAAAAAGGAGGCTTGGGAATTTCACCTCTCATTGAATTTCTCAGCTACTGGATCGTCGGGCATCATGTTGGATGTGGCATTTTTTTGTTTCACTCACCTTGTGGGTGGCTAGAGGAAATAACATGTGGGGTACATGCCATGGCAGAACCATATCCATATCCAGCTCCCTGACGTTTCCTTGGGCCATAATGTACTGGTATCTGTGTGGTGGTGGTTGCTATTGGAGACGTTTGCTTGTTCCTGTCAGGGCTGCTGGAGTGATGTGGTTGGAAGACGGTCCTCCTTGCTGGTGTGCATTCTGCTCAGTGCCCTGGGTTATCTCCTCCTTGGAGTATCCACCAACGTGTTCCTGTTTACACTGGCTAGAGTCCCTGTGGGTGAGTTCTGAAACTCCCTCCCCCAGAAGTGTATTTCCCTATGTGAACCTGAGCCTGCCTGATAGTGCCTCTTCAATCAGAGCTTACCTGCAGAGACCAATGGCTGCCATGATGACGGTGGCAGTAACCGCTTGACGGGTGGTTGCTGTTTATTGAGCATTTGCTATGGGCAGGCCCTCTGGTAACTTACCCAAAGCTCCCATCACAGCCTGTGACAAAGCCTATCAGAAACTTGTTAGTGTGAATTACTCTGCTGCACCTGACCTGTCTCTTTCCCATTGCCCTGCCTCTCCATGTTTGTTCAGGCAATCAAGAACATGTGAGACGCTTTGCCTAGCACTGTGATTTACCCTGAGACGTAGCTCAGTAGCTGTGCTGCAGCCCTCTGGAAATCTGCAGTACTATGTTAAGAGGACCTGGAGCTGGTGGTTCTCCTCCTTCCAGACTGCTCTTGACTATTTCTCACACCTTGAAATTGCTTTCATCTTCATTGGGATGTTTTTATCCACGCTGGGAAACTGCACCCTTAGGTGTGTGGTATGTGGGGACCTGCTATGGAAACTGTATCCATCCTTGCCTTTCTTAGCATCCAGAGCCCCAAATCTCACCCATTTTCTTTCCTTAGCTAGTGTAGCCTGGACAGACTTCGCAACCCTAGTCCCAAGGCTGCCTCACCAGACATCTGCTCTCATTAAGTTAGCTACTTGCTCTACTCCTAGCATACAGTGAGAATCAGTTCATTTGAGATCATCACACCATTTCTTTGGCCTGCATTTAGAGCATGGATGCTATTGAAGGCACCTTTCTACATTCCCACTGGTGGTTTTACATTTAGAAGTTCTCTAAGTGTGGTCCACAATCCTAACAAAGCCCACCAGTGCATTCGGGTTTATAGTTAAGGCTGTTCACATGCATCTTGGCGTTGCATTTATTGTATTATTCTTTGGTTCACAGTGTGTCTCTCAGTACTACTCCACTCACTCTATGCTATGTCCTGTTCCTAATTCTCTACAAACTGGTGAGGGAGATGAGAACCTGAGTTTGTTTGCAAAACAGGTAGAGATTTAAGGGGAAGATGGGATTGTTTTCATTTAGTATGAGTGGCCTGGTCCAAACAGCTGTGCTCCTAGTATATGGACACCATGATCTTTGCAGACAGCAGTAATACTGGATTCCTTCTTGTCCCCACCTGACCCTTCGCAGTGTTTGGGGATCATGAATGAGAGGGAACGCTGGGAACTTTGCCAGGTTTTCTGGTTTTGCTGTCAGGTGTAGACTCAGATCCTGTGTCCTGAAACTTACCCTGACATTGTGCCTGCACTGGACATCTGCTCTTCCCTTACCTTCCTCTAAAGAACCCTCCCCTGACTTGTTTCTGGGACATTCTCCCGATAGTCATCTTCCCTCATAAGGTTACCCTAACATGGATGTCATTTCAAAGAAGTTCGTGAAGTCCCTCAAAGAAATCTTGTAAGTTTTCTCTCACCCCAGCCCTTCTTCATGCTTCCGAAAACAAGGCTCGAAAGAGTCTATGTAATTGTGAAAGGGGTTCGTCAGTTTGTTCCCAGATGAGCTGCCCGGTGTGTCCAGTGCACATACTCTCATTGTGACCCAGAAACTTGGAGTTGTCAAACTTGGAAACTTGTCAACTCAGTGTGACAGCACCATGCTGGGCCACACAAGATACTGTAAGGAGGCCAGCAGAAGCCTCTGTGTCGTCACAGCTTGGAGTGATGGGCAGTGATCTGCAGGGAGCTCATACTAGTTTGTATTCCATGTCAACCGAAGTGGCTGGCAACCCGTTCCCAGGGTTGGTCAGTGTATTCCTAAGTATTCCTCACAGGTTTGTCAAATAATCCTGTGGAGCGTACAGTCATGCTGAAGGCATCAGGGAGTTGGAAGACAGATTTACAGGTCTCAAGACTAGTAGGAAGCGGTCGGCATTGGTCAGATGAAGCCACCCACCATCATTGACTAGTGTCTTCCTCGGGTGTGGCAGTCAGTGTTGGTTAGATGAAAATGCCTCACGTTCCTTCTCACATGTGTCTTCTCTGCTATCCCTGCCTATACCCCTCATGACCTCCTGATATAGTGTGTGTTTTACCCCAAGACAAACGCGTCTTCCATGAGGGCGGATTTAGCCGTTTGTGTTTGTTTTATTGTTGCTGTCTTTTTGTTTCAGTTGCTAAGCTCGTTGCTTTGTCCCCAGGTTAGGCTCAGTGGGGGCACAGGGCAGGTGTGCAGTCACGGTTTGCCATGAGTGAGTGGAGAGAGCATGGTAACCAGGTAACCGAGGAAGCCACTGTAGGCTAGGGGGCACAGTAAAGAAACTGCCAACCTGCCCATCCCGTTGTATGGTTAAAGTTTTCGTTACAGGTAAAAGAGAGAAAACCTCCCGGGAAGAGAGAGAAAGAGGTAGATTGAACATGGCCAGCAGACTGGACACAGCCAGGGTGAAGGGAGCCGGGGGGGGGGGGGGGGGGGGGGGGGGAATAGTGGAGACAGTGAGATATCGAGAGATAGAGAGGGAGAGTACAGTGGGAACGGTGGGGCAGTGGGGGAAACCTTGCCGTTAGAAAAGGAGGAGAGAAGTGAGTAGGGTGCCAGCGTGGACTTTGAAGTGTATTGCAGGTGCTTAGGATACTGGGGGCAGCTGGAGACCAGCATGTGCTTGGAATATGCCAACCACATGTAGCATTTGCCCCATCTGCCAGAGGTAAGGGGAATGACTCCTTTGGCAGATGGGGACTGGTTTTGGTTTCACAAGTTCCTGAGGAATTCTGGCTTTTATTTAACTGCCAGAAATCTTCCTGTGGCTCATGCTGACCCTCATTTCTGGATATTTGGACTGCCCGAGACCTAACAGCCACCAGGAATTTCAATTGGATGACAAGGATTGTTGGCCATATCAGAGCTGAAGTCTATGACACTCAATGCTAGAGATGAGGTGACCAACCATTATTATGGTGCTGGCTCTGGGTTCCATTTATCATGGCGTGAGTCCTGCAGGCCTTAGTGGTCCAGAGAAAAATGGTAGCAAGCACTCCATTTGGCTCAGAGAGGAAGAGTAGCCCAGAGGGGTCTGCTCCTCCAGAGTGCAGACAGTTACAGAGCACATTTCTTCTCCCTTGCAGGTATTTTTAAACACACCCTCTCCATCTCCAGGGCACTGCTTTCTGACCTGGTCACAGAGAGGGAGCGGCCACTTGTACTGGGACAGTTCAACACAGCCTCGGGTGTAGGCTTCATCTTGGGCCCCATGGTTGGTGGATATCTGACAGAGCTGGATGGCGGATTCTATGTGACGGCTTTCATCTGCTCTTCTGTCTTCCTTCTCAATGCTGGTGAGTTGACTGTTGAACATGTACACTTAGTCTACGCATTTCTGTCGAAGCCTTGTGATTGTTTTTTTTAATACAGAATAGGCCGACTTGACTTGTGGCTGGGGGAATGGCTCAGGGCCTAAAAGTTCTTGCTGCCCTTGCAGAGAACCAGAGTAGGATTCCCAGCAGCTGTATGAGTGGCTCACAGCTATCCGTAACTTCAGCTCCGAGGAGTATGGCATCCTCTTCTGGCCTCCGTGGGCCTCCCTGTGTACATATAACTCACACACATACAGTCACACACACATCAGGATTAATAATAATAGAATAGGCAGAGTCATTGTTCAAGAATGAGTGTTGATTTGAAGATCCTCTCTACTGCTCTCATAGTGACTAGATGAGTCTGTATCCCCACCAGCATTGTGCCGGCTTCCCTTTCTTCTGCATCCTCACTCTCATCGTTTTATGGTTGTCATCATTCAATAATCCTCTTACAGGAGGAGGTCGCAACTCACTATGGCTTTGACTTGAACTTCCGTTTGTTGGTGATGTTGGGCGCCATTTTGCTTACCATTTGTTAGAGAAGCATTTCAGTCCTTTGCTAAACTTGTTTCGTTTTGCCTTTTTGCTACTGAGTTGAAAGAATACCTTGTATAGCTTGGATACCAACTTATTTTTTTTAATATTGTTACAAAAATTTAATCACTATATTATTACACATGTGAAAAACTTTGGATACAATTGTGAAACCTAAGTAGGCTATAGGCAATGGTGCAAAACGCTAAATGTTGATAATTTTCCCAATGTACTCTCTGGGAAACACTTATTCTTCAGAATAAATGAGTTAGTTTTGCATTTTAATTGTTTAAGAATTCCATACATTATATTTTGAGGAAATTCATCTCTCCCAAGATCCACTCCCCATTCCGTACTCAACCAGCTTGTGTCTTCATTTGAAACGAAAACCCCTTTAGTGCTGCCCATCTGCTCTTCAGTGTGTCCGTTCACTACCAGGGGCCACACCCCTAGAGCAAACCTCCTCTCCTGGCCGGCAGCACTTACCAGTAGTGGCTCCTCCCCTGGAGTGGGGCTTGGTGCCCACCTCCCCGCCCCATGCTGGGGTTTTGTCTGACTTAATATTAACTTTTTTTAAAATCAGATACTGGATCTGCAGATAACATCTGTTCTTTACATTGCCCTTTGACTTCAGAGACTGTTTCTCCTGCTGTGCAGAAGGGTTTTGGTTTACTTTAGGTCCCCTGCCTCTTTATGCTTTTATCGCCTGTCTTCCTGGTAGCATACCCAGAAGCATCAATGCCAAGCCCAGTTCTCAGAAGCTGCCTGCCTCCCTTTTCCTCAGGGTGTTACGTGTGTAGGCCTTACCTTTGTCTTTAATCCATCTTGAGCTCATTTTTGTGTGTGGCATAACACAGGGACCAATTCCATTTTTTTTTGTACGATATGTATTAGTTATTATAATATATATGAAAACATCTCTATTTTTAATAGAGCTATTAAACTTTTCAATAAAATGTGGAAGTTTAAAAAAAAAAAACAACTATGGATTTTCCTGCCACAGACCCCAGGGTCGTGACATGCTTTATTCCTCCTACACAGTGATGGACAATGCCATGTTCTCTCCCCCACCTGAACTGCCACACAGCCTTCCTGGCCTACCTCACATGTGCAGTCAGTCTGGCTCCTCCTGGAAGGCTTTGCACTGACTTTCTCTGCCGGGCACATTTCCTGTCGTGTGTCTCTCCCAACCCTCTTCTTCTGGTCATTCACTTCTCAGACATTTGCTTCATTTGACGTCTTTGCCCGATCATTCTGAATAAAACTATAGCTAAGGGTTTTTCACAGTACTTTGAAAACTCTGTTGCTGTTTCAGTTTCATGCTTCAATTCTATGACATCCTGCACAAGGGCAGGCATTATACTAGATGCTCTCTCTGCTGTTCCTGTCCCCGCACATATTCCACAGCATTCAATGAACAAGAAAGACCCCCTGCACTGTGGAGCGAGCTAGGTGCTCCAAGACTCTTCTTCCTCTTTGGCAGGAGACCATAACATGGACAGGTCTTGAATAAACAGTTTCGTAAATGAGAGAAGCCATACAGACTGTCTGGCTGCCTTTCCATTTAATGATATGCCGCTTTACCGCAAGGGTTTGAAACTTCTTCACCTTAGGGCCTAATAATGAGCAGCGAGTTCCATGCTGGCCCCTTTCAGATTCTGGAAGTGAGGTTCGTGAGTTTATTTTCAGTTTTGACAAAACCGCTTGATAATTTCTCTCGGGATCTGAATCTGCACCCTCCCCCAAGAGAGAGCCCTGATGCTTGCTGGGAACCTTGTGAAAGGCGGCGTACAGCCTGTTGCCATTGGTTACTTTACAAACATCAGTGCAAAGGAAATGAAGGGGAAAGCATCCGTTTCATCGCAGAATGTAGTAGGAACTTAGTGTAAACAGGTTTTACTCAATAGGGTGAGATTAAAACATTTGCATATAGGTCTTACAAGGAAGAGAAAATAAAAAAGATATGAATTCCTGGTCATAAACCTAAGTTTTATAGTATTTGATAGAAAAGACAAATATTTAATATTTCTTACAAGCATGTAAGCCAAAAGTGACCGTGGAGATTTTTTTGTAGTGAGACTTTCTTCTCAGGGGAGACTAAAGCATGTCTACCCCTCCTTAAAAGGTTCCAACAACAAGACAAGTGCAGTTCCACCAAAGATCAATCCGGAAAGCCCATGTGTTATTGGGCTTCCTTACTACAGAGCATGGGTGAGGACCACTGGCAGTAGCATGAGTGGATGTAAGCAGCCAGACTAGAAAGTCTTCATCCAGCATGGAGGATGCTCCCTTCATCCAGCATGGAGGATGCTCCCTTCATCCAGCATGGAGGATGCTCCCTTCATCCAGCGTGGAGGATGCTCCCTTCATCCAGCATGGAGGATGCTCCCATCATCCAGCGTGGAGGATGCTCCCTTCATCCATCATGGAGGGTGCTCCCTTCATCCAGCGTGGAGGATGCTGCCTTCCAATAGCTACATAGATGGAGACCCTCCTAATTAACTTCCCCCAGCCTAGATGGCCTAGCACCCCCTTTGACACCCATGATGGCATGTGCAGTTGAGGTAGAATTGCACACAAATGATTTTGGAGGAGCCCTGGAGTCTTGGAATCACAAGCAGAAATCCAGACCAACCCCCAACCCTTCCTTCTGTGATGGAATGTCTACAGTCAGTAAAATCTGATGGTGATTTTTTAAAAATTAGTTTAAAAAACTAAAAAAAACTAATTTAAAATGCATTTTAATTAAAATGTAATTATATCACTTCCCCCTTTGCTTTCCTTCTTCCAGCTGCTTCCATATCCCTCTCCTCCCAGCCCTCCCATGTCCCCACTACTCACTCAATTGATAGCTCCTTCTTCTCTTTGATTGTTATTGGCATGCATGCATGAGTGCATGTCTGTGTATGATGAAGTCTTGGAACCGATCTGATGAAGGCGGTGGCTGTTTTGTTTGGAGAACCACATTCTGTGTCTTTGGATCCCAGTGATGGTGCTGTTTGGTATTTTACCTCAGCCTGAACATATGGGCAGATGTGGGTCCATTAGGAATGTGCAGTTGCACACGTTCCCAGCCACAGTGACTGGAGTCCTAGAGATCTATTTTTTCAACTCTAAACATCTGGAACTGGGCATTGCTGGAGCAATGCCGGGCACATTTCCAGAGGAATGGGACAACCATCTGGCTAGGTACAGAGTCCCAGTGCCCTCCACCCAGGTAGTCGCTGGTTTCCTCATTCCCTTGCCGCCGTCACACCTTCTGCCCTAACTCGTCTTCTTCCAGCTGAGAAATCAGGCTGTTGGGTCTGACAGACTCACGCCCACGTCCTGCCTTGCTGGTTATTAACGCGAGCTATTAGAATGCCTCTTCGGTTTTCTCACCTAGTCTAATGTTGCTAGCAACACTCACGGCCTTGCTGCAGGAACCAGGGAGATCTTGCACAAAAGGGGTTTTACCCAAGCATCGTCGTCATCACTGTGATTTTGAGACAGGGTCTCTTGTAGCCCAGGTTAACCTCCAACTGTCCCCTGGATACTGATGTGTGTCACCATCTCCACTTCATGTGGTCCTGGGGATGGAACCCAGGGCCTTGTGCACACTAGGCAAGCATTCCATTAACTCAGCTACATCCTCTACCCCTTCTTTTATTAATTCTACTCTTACGTCTGAGATCATCAATAGCAGTTTTTGTGTTTTTATGAGGATTCTTTGATAAAATGGCCCTCTTAGAGATAAGAGTAGACTAAAAAGCACCCAGGTCTATGATTAACTGTGGTTCATGGCTGAAATCCTTACACAGTGTTTAGACAAAGCCATGTGCTCATGAGGTGGTTGAAAACAACATGGAACAGCCATTGGGCCAGACTGAACTTGGAGTGCAGAAAGACCATTAAGGATATACTTGGAAGAATGTCTTAGAATAGAAAACGTAAGTTCCACTTTAAGAAATTTTTTTAGCATAGATTGCTAAGAAGTTCTAAAAGACTCAAGGCAGAAGCATGACAGTCAGGGGGGTCAGTGGTTGGCTTGTCTGAATGCCGATCATGTGTGCTGGGTAAGGCTGAGTGGCGTGGTCCCTGTGCGTGGTACTCTGCGGTTTTGCAAGTGTGACCCTTGAAAACACCTGGTGGCCCTGGGTGGAAAAGAAGCCAAATGGTATTTCCTGATGGCTACTATTGTCCAGCTGTCTCTCCTGGCCATTGGCCAAGGCCCATCATGGCTGTACTACCAGCCTCTGTCCCTCTTTCAACATGGCCCAACTGTAAGACAGTTGCCGTTGACTTATCTAAATCTCCAATGAGGTTTGGGTTTTATGGGGGCAGGATTTTCACAGGGCTTTGACTTATTTATTTGTGCATTTCTGGTGTCATTAGCACATTGGAAAAGCCCCCTGTGAACTGTGTATGCGCATACACTTGGATGGATGAGTGGGCAGGTAGACAGATAATTAGGAAATTTTGTTGAGAAAAGCATTTGCATGTACACTTTAGTGAATGTAAGGGCATAGCTACGAAGCGATGGCATAAGAGAAGTGAGCACCTGAGCCAAGAAGACAGTGACTGCTTTGCGTGTAATTTCAGTAGCTTTTACAGAACTCGAGTCCATTGCTAGGGGTCCTGATGCCATAGCAGAACTGTGGGACTGGTGGGGAAGCTGGAATCAATAACCAAGTAAATGTAGTGTAAAATACAGGTGAGTGATCTCATACAGATACTCCTTTATCCCCCAGGGAGCCACTGTAGGCATCCAGCACACTGTGTTAACAGGTCTCTTACCATGTCATTAGGTCTTGTTTGGCTGTTACCTTGGAGAGAAACAAACCTCAACAGCGAGGAGAATGGTTGGACCTGGGATCAGAAGCAAGCTACAGCACCCAGAAAGTCAGAAGGTACACTGCCGGGAGCAGCCGCCACCCCTAGGACCAGGAGGAGTGAGAAGGAAGTGCAGAGGCCCTGGGTTGAGGTCATGTCAGCCTTGAAGGACATGAAGAGCCTCATATTTTCCTCATTGTGGGACGTATTTCTTGTGCGCTTGCTGATGGGGGTGGCTGTCATGCTGTACTACAGTAATTACGTCTTGGCCCTGGAGGAGCGTTTCGGGGTCCGGCCCAAGACCACGGGGTACCTCATCAGCTACACCAGTGCCCTGGGTGCCCTGGCTGGCTTTGCTGTGGGGCCCATTCTACGACTGTACAAGCACAACTCCCACATGGTCCTGCTGCACTCTAGTGCGCTCACCTGCCTGCTGCTGCTGCTCTACTCCATGGCCACCACCATGGATGTGGTGGTCTTTTCCTCGACACTTCTGTCCTTCTCCACCACCATTGGGAGAACTTGCATCACCGACCTCCAGCTGAGTGCTGGTGGGGCCCAGGCCAGTGGCACTGTCATAGGTGTGGGCCAGTCTGTGACTGCCGTGGGCCGTATCATTGCCCCTCTCCTCTCAGGAGTAGCCCAGGAGATCAGTCCCTGTGGCCCCCCAAGCCTGGGTACTGCTTTAGCCCTGGTGGCTATTTTAATCATGTCACTAAACAAACCTCATTCAGGTATTTATGTATTGTAGTCTTGGGGACCCAGCCCCAGGCTGCAGGAAGGGCTTAAAGAGAAAGCCACAGCATTGCATAACTAGACTTTTTCTATCTGAGAAGAGAAGAAAAATACACATACACACACACACACACACACACACACACACACACACACACACACCTATTTTCTTGGTGGTTACTTTTCTTTATTCTCATGCTGCTCCTCTCATGCTGGTACACTCATATTGTTCGTTCTTGTTGCTATTTGTATTACTACATTGCTCCATCTTACCATGTCTTTTTAGTTTATATATCCCAACCAATTATTTCAGGCAGTGTAAGAATCATAAGGTCACATTTCAAAGGTAAAAATTGTAACTTCTAATTTGCCAGGAACACCTGTAGCCCTCATTTGGGGCTATAGAGTCGAATTATTTTCGCCAGCCTTGACAAGTCAGAATATATTTTCACAAATTGAGGTCAGGAAATGGGTGCAAGGACTTGACCATTTTCCAGCTAGCAATAATTGGGCTGTCTTTGTATTTACAACTAGCCAGATAGTATAGCTGTGTGTCCTTGCTGAACAAAATTGGGAATGTTTATCTAAAAGACCATTAACAAGGCACCTGGTCTAATCTAAAGCTCCTTTGAAGCTTTGTTTCACCTAATGAGATACAAGAAAACTGTTACTGCAATTCTCAGCATAAAGATCGACAGAATTTGAGCCAGCCTGGCTCCTGGATTCAAATGTTATTCTAAATCATAAATCTGAGCTGTGACTTAAAGCAGTTTCTTAAGTGTGGCTCACAAGCCTCATGTAGCCATAGGCCTAGCTATGAAATATTTTCATTCATCAAAATTATAAGGCTTAAGGAATGATTACTTTCTTGACAATCCACAGATCACAATGCCCCCATTAGATTGAGATGTAATCATAAGATAAACACACTACAGTACAAGTAGTGGGGGACTCCCCACACCATATACAGTATATCACATACCAAAGGTACCCCAGAAGCAAAAGCTGTTTCATAGTCTGGAGTCTCATGGCCTTGCCTAAAATGAGATTGACCCATCAGAGATTTTCCTCTTGGTGGACTGGCACCTGAACTTCAGCTCCCGCCTGCTGTACTTCTGCCATGGCCACCAGCAGGGATGGGAGTGAGAAATTAAAAGGGGAGTAGAATGGATTGGGACCACTTGAAGAAGCAGAGTTAAAACTGGGCCAATCGGGGACAAAGACTGGTCAGAAGGGCATTTCAGAGAGGGTGTGTCATTTCCAGATGACCATGGCCAGTCCTCACCTGTACAGGGATGCCAGCCAGACCATCAGAAGTCAGCTGCAGATAGGAAAGCTTAGATTGAGCACAGCTCTGCCAGGGGACCGTATCCAAAGCTTACTCGGATGGCTTCTCTTCCCACCTGGGCCAGTAAAGTTAACGTTTGCTACCAGGGAAAGGCAGCACACTACAAAGAGGTGCCGGTGGTAGGAGAGCAACTTGGTATGTGAAAGGATGGAAGACCCATATGCAAGGAACAGTGTCCCATTGAAAAATGGGTGCTATGTTAATCACATGCTGGTCACCCCTCTGGAGGGCAGGGTTTTCTGCTAAACCCAGAAGCCAAAAGTAGCTTCTCTGTCAAAATCCCAGAGACTGGAGTAGCTGCTTTACTTAAACCAACCTGTTGCGTTCTCCACCAGTAAACAACTAGATGCTGAGCTTACCCCCAGACACAGATGGACAGACCTTGCAAAGCCAAATCTGGGGTTTTAAGCACCAGTGGCCATATCTCATAGAGGGGAAGGAGCACTGTTCAATGTACTAGTTTTTATTAAAGTAAAAGCTAGAGACTACAGTTTTTAATAGCTAACTGGACATGCCCCCTAAACTTACTGCTTACAACTGTGGTATACCATCTTTCACACCACTCAGAAGTCAGTCTGCACTAGAAGCAGCTTTCTGGGAGGCCTTCTCTACTCTCTGGGACTAAATCACTTTGGACTTTGGGGAGATCTGTGATCTCAGAAGCTGGGCCTCTGAGGAATTGTGTTATTCTGGTGTTAAAGAGCTGATAGTGAAGGGGAAACATGGGAACATTCTGTACATAGAAAGGGTCGGGGCCATCCCAGGCTGCGGAGAGACAGGCTGTACGGGGGCTTTTGAAAGTCATTTATTTGCTGTATTTCATTTGACTTTGGTGCATTGGGAGTGTGGATGTGTCCTTCTCTGTAACTTTAAGCCACCACTCCATCAGCACCCAGGAGTGGCCCAGAAGGTGGCTTCACAGACTCATGTGGACCAACCTTTGGACCACTGGGGTTACATTGATTGTTTAGGAGCATTGCTTAGGGGCCGCTCTCTCACAGACAGCCCAGATTCACATTCCTTTTCATCCTCTTGATGATTCCACTAGTATATGTTTTCACCCTCACATAACATGTACTTGTGAGTGGCATTTTAATGCACTAGTATTTCATAACTAGTGTTTACTATTTATAAATCCGAAAAAGGTGTTTCCGTAGTTTTAGGAGTTGTAGGTGGGATAAACTCAAATATTTATGACAATTGAAAGTACTTTTTATCTTTTCCTCTTTGGCTACAAAAAAAGAAGTTCTCTTTTAAAGTGTTTCCACTGTGAATTAAACACAGCAGCTAAGGGCTCTTAAGAGACCAAAGCATGGCGTGAATGGCCATGCCCTCGTGCAGCATCTAAATGTCATGGAGACTAGGCTCAGAAGGACAATAAATGAATGATTACCATGATGTAATGAAGTAAGGTTTCAGAAGCGTTTCTCCAAAGACTCTTGGCACATTCAGAGACGGTCGGTTTTTCTTACAAATGCTTATGGTAGCCATAGCACTTAAAACCATAGCACTTTATTTTTTAAGTCAAACCTATAAAATTAATGAGGCTTTAAAATTAATAAGACACATGGAGATTCTGGAAACCAGAATAACCAATATCTAGAGAAACACTATTATCCTGTATTAGTGACTTTAGTGATTTGTTAATCTGATGGTTGTTTTTTGTTTTGTATTGTTTTTTTGTTTGTTTTGTCTCCTTTGGTAAATGTTTTCTCACATTTCATCTTGTCTGGTGTGTCGTTCAAAGTGTGGTCCATAGACCACCATGTCCTGGGATATGTACATGCTCCAGCCCCAGCACATTCCTGCTAGGGACCACTTTGAGGAGCTGTCTAGCTGATCTGTTTACACAGAAAGCTTTGACAACCACTGGGCTGGTGAGTAGAATTTATATGTTTTATGGGATAAAATCTCAGGGAAATTAAATTTTCTCAGTTAATGTGTGTGTCATGTTCTTTAAATTCTCTTGCATGTCATTCATAATCTTGTCTAAAATAGTAGGTTGTGCCACATGCACTTGTTCCTGTATAGGTGAAAAATACCTTCATGTAGTTTTTAACTTGGAGCTGTATGGAAATTTGCTTTAGAGATCTGGACTGTTTATGAAGGGGAGCTTACCCACCTACCCCCAACATGCCAGCCACAAGTGGATGCTGTGAAATAGGGCTCTCTCTTGTGGAACTCTATTTCAAAAGGCTTAGCTTTCCCACAGAGCATAAGGTGCCCAGCTCAGGTCAGAGGGATGAGAAAAAGATGGGAACCAGGAAGGCATATTTGGAAGGCTCAGCCATGAACTGAGTGACCTGGACACTGACCTGTGCGTAGTTCTTCCTGAAGCCCACCAAAGGGGGCAAGATAATGCTGGTTCTCTACCTGGCTGCATGCCTTGACCCTTGAGGTCCAGACACTTAACATACTTAGGATAGAGAATCACTGAATAGAATTAAAAGCATGGTGGGGAGCTCACGTGCCATGCTCAGCAGCTCAGTTTTGTAGGTTATGTGGACCACTGCTCCCAAACACACAGATTTTATTAAGATCCTCTAGCTGTGGTGGGAGGCAGATAGATGCTGAGAAAGTAGTATGGACATTGGAACGGTGATCCACATGAGTCAGGAGGGACAAATGGATGCATGGATATCGGGAGGCCAAGAAGAGAAGCCTGTGCCCGACAGTTTTATGTCAACTTGACACAAGCCAGAGTCATCTGGGAAAGGGGAATTGCCTCCATAAGATCAGTAGGCAAGCCTGGAGAGTGTTTTCTTAATTAGTGACTGGTGTGGAAGGGTTCAGCCCATTGTGAGTGGTGCCATCCTTGGGCTAGTGTTCTTGGATGTTATAAGAGTAGGCTGAGCAAGCCATGGGGTGCAAACCATGGGCACAAGCCAGTAATCAGTATTCCTCCATGGCCTCTGCATCAGCTGCTTCCTCCTGGTTCCTGCATTGTTTGAGTTCCTGTCCTGCCTCCCTTCAGTGATGAACAGTGGTGTTGGAGTGCAAACTAAATAAACCCTTTCCTCCTCAATTTGCTTTCCATCATGGTGTTTCATCAATAAAAACCAGAACAAAGGCACACAGAAGAACGATCGAAGATGAAAATTCTTGATGCAAGAATGGAAAGATGGTATTTTTATCAGTCGACTTAAACTATTATATCTTGATAAATAAAAATCCTTCAGTGCATGAAGAAAATGAATACAATTAAAATGAAAGGTGGCAATTGGGAACATGGCAGGGGTAACCTTTCTTCAGGCTTATCTAGGACTCTCTGCTAAGTGCCCTTGCACCCAGCAGCCAAATGTTCATTCTAAGATCCCAAAGGCAGTGTCAAACCTCACATAGCCTGTTTTTTCCTAAACAGATACCAATTTCATTTTTCCCATCTTAACCACTATAACGTTTCCAGTACTAGAGCAAATGTGGCATGAACTTCTTTATCCTAATACACAGTTTCACCAACAAGTTTATTCTTTTCTCCGAAGCTGTAAGCATTCCCCTTAGCGCTTACAGCAAGCGCTTTATAGCTTCACTTTGGCAGATCTGAACTGCATTCTCAGTGCAGTGAGGCCAAGAAGAACACAGGCAATGCATTGTCAGCACAGTTGATGTAATAACCAAGATGGCTGCTAAGTCCTTAATATACAGGTAGCACACAGGGATACCATGGAGACAAGGCACAGAGTGACATCATACAAGCTGTACATCATTCTTCTCACAATGGTATGCATTGCAAACTCATATATTGTTTATTTCTAGAATTTTCATGTAATACTTTCTGGATCTTGGCCACAAAGAACTGAAACTGTACAAAGTGATATATAAGTCATATAAGGAGGGAATTACTATATTCCATTCTGAATTGTTGGGGTTTGAGGCCATTTATTGTTTGGTGAAATAGCTTACCTAACTAAATCTGTCCCAAACTTGTTGAAATAAAAATTGTGTGGAATGCCCAGGATAAACCTGATGTTGCCTGCGTCCTGTTGTGACTTTGCCACCACCATTAGCATTTTATTCCTAGAGCCAGTTTGTTTCTTGAGGCTGAGGTCCTGGTCTCTGCTTTGGAGACAATTTTGGTAGTGCCAGTCAGTAACATCACTGATAAGGTTGAGTGTTCTTGAGCCACCGTCAAAGTACCTTTACTGGACCATCTCTTTGGAATGAATAGCATGCTCAGGATGCCAAGTGGTAACTGTATTGAAAGTAACTTCCTACCTAAGCATAAAGGCTTAGCAATGCCCCAGAGTAAAGGAAGAAGCAGCCATGGCAGCAAGATAATCACATGGTGTATTAATTCACATGTCTGATGCTGTGCACTGATGAAACCCTAAAATTTGGTGGGCTCATACATCATAATCACTTTAAATCATTTAGTGAAACAATTATTGGCATTGAACTGGAAGAAGGCAATATTTCATATTCAGCACCAGGTTTATCTTTGAATCCTTTAAAAGGATCTTCCTAAACATAAAATTTAGGAATCCAGGATGATTCCTATAATGAGATATTTAAGATGGTTGTTTGGTTCAAATGTAATTTGAAGGTTTTAGTATTCTAAATTCTTCTCTTTCATGAACTACAGCCATCATGAGGTGTCAATACAAACAAGAGTCAAACTACCATGTTTATAGATGGAGTTTCTGGGAATGCTTAATAATCTGTGAAATCATTTGCTCCAAACATTGTTGATTAAATGATTGCATTTTAATATTCAAACATTGTTAAGACCTTTTCCCATCAAAACAGTGAAACTTTTCCTTTAATAGTGTACATGGACAAAAGATCTGTTTGGCAAGCTGTTGATCATATCTAGATATAAAGACCATGTTTCTTCTAAGTTAAAATCATGCTTGTTAGTCATGGCTCATACAACAGGAGCCACCTCAATGTCTGAATATTTGATTCACAAGTCACCACCACTGCGTCTGTCATAGGGCATCCCACTTTGTCCCCTGTCCCCATGGCACCTCTACACATCTCCTACCAACTGCAGTGAAAGGCTGACAGAACCCATGATGCCTCTGTGGTGTACTGAAAGATCTTAGTGGGTTTTTTTGTTTTGTTTTGTTTTTCGAGACAGGGTTTCTCTGTGTAGCTTTGCACCTTTCCTGGAACTCACTTGGTAGCCCAGGCTGGCCTCGAACTCACAGAGATCCGCCGGCCTCTGCCTCCCGAGTGCTGGGATTAAAGGCGTGCGCCACCACCGCCCGGCCTTAGTGGGTTTTTAACCTGTGAAGATGACACATGCTAAGAACCTTGAAAATGAGATAAGCCATTCAATGTAGACGTGTTAATAACACATCCATAAATACCCCTTCCCTGAGCATAAAGGTAAAACTGTCCAGAAACTTACCAAGCCATTAAAAAATTTATTTGGCAAATTGCAGAAACTAGAGGGGGGAAATTTGAAAAAATAATGTACCAGTCCAACATGAAATAATTTTCCAAAAAAAACTATAAACAGATGCAACCTGGTAATGGTAAAGCCAAAGTAAGCACAGGCAAGACAAAAGAGACTAAACAGTGGTTCTCAACCTTCCTGATGCTGCAACCCTTTAATACAGTTCCTCATGTTGTGGTGACCCCCCCCCCCCCAACCATAAAGTTTATTTCACTGCTACTTCGGAACTGTAATTTTGCTATTGTTATGAATCCTAACGTAAATACCTGATATGCAGGATAGTTGATATGAAAGCCCTGTGAAAGGGTTCTTCGACCTCCAAAGGGGTCGCAGCCCACATGTTGAGAACCACTGGCCTGGATGACGGGAGAGCAGGTGAAAGCACAGAAGTAAGGTTTCCAAAGCAATGGCCTCCTTGAACAAAGCAGACCTAAGGAGTTTCTCTGGGACTCTGTGTGTACTCACACAGGAGGGTTCTTTAAGGCGGGATGCATTCGAGTTCATGCTCGATGATGGTCATACTGTAGGAAAGTAGACCCAGTTTAGGATGTGGCTAGCACAGTCCCTAGAGCACTTATGTGACGTGTTAAAATGATGAGCAGGACTGGTTCCAGGGGTGCTCAGCTTGAACATAAACCCAAAGTTTCCGCTGAAAATAGGAAAGGACACTTGGAAGCTGCACTAATGTGTGTTTATCTGCTTGGCAGCTAACACAACTACCCACACGGATGTTTCTTTTACATATCTCTCCGCAGTGGCTGACCCCCAGGAAAGCTTAGCGTTGAGTAGATGACATATATGTATACTATCATGTTTTATTATATATGTGTATAAAATCCTCAACAAATAAACCAAGGATGGTAAAACAAGTAGATAAAACAAAAGCCCAAGGCACCAGTTTGGATCATAAGCTTCTCTTTTCAGCAAGATGGGGGCTATGCACCACCCACCTCTCATATCTCAATGCCTGAAGTTTCTGCCTTCCCAGTTCCAACCCACTTGCTATGGAAGATGTAAAGAAAAAAAAACAGACTTGTTTGTTCTGTCATTTCCCCCTAAGTACTGCAGGGTACTACTGAAGGAGTATGTGCAGTTGAAGTATTATGGGCCATCTCAAGATGAGTAAGCATGGAGGCCATGCTTGGGTTATATGTAAACATTGCAATATTTTATATAAGGAGCTTGAGCCTCTGAAGATTTTCATATCCTCCAGGGGTCCCCGAATCCATTCTTTAATAGCATTTAGGGCTCAGCAGCTAGTATCATCAGTCACTTCATCTGGACAAAGCCATATATTTAATTATCCTTTAAAAATAAAGTCTGATGTGTCCTTTGAACTGGCGCTGGTGCCACTGTTCTTACAATTGCTGGTAAAATGGCAGTTTTAACCCAAACAAATGCAAAATGTGCTAAGACAACTTCTTGACTACACTTTTTATATAAATAAACACCCCCACTACCCATAAAAGAATGAACTTCATCTCAGACGTTTGGAGGCAAGTACACAGAATGCAGAGTTCCTAAAGTGTTGGATTTGGGTGCCAAGTTTTCTTCACTTGCTGACCGCCGGAGAGCTTCAAGTCCTAGATTTCATGTCTAGGCAGTTCAAATACAGTTTGTTACAAAGATCAGGAGAACTCTCAAAATTCTCCAGGCCCTAGGGAACTTTGACTGGGTCAGGTGATGTTTGGACAAAGGAAGTCATTTACTAAGGACAGAGGCTCTTCCCACACTTCGGAATTTTGAATTGTTAGTGCACTTGAAGAGTTACATTTCTTGGTCTTTGTTTTTGTTTATTTGTTTGTTTTGAGACAGGGTTTCTCTGTGTAACTGCTTAGCTGTCCTGGAACTTGCTTGGTAAACCAGGCTGGCTTCAAACTCACAGAGATCTGCCTGTCTCTGCCTCCCGAGTGCTGGGATTAAAAGTGTACATCACCACCCAGCAAGTTTCATTTCTTTACTACCCTTTTCTGTGGTGAGTGGAATCAGATAATTATCAAAAGAAGAAAATACAGAGGAAAGGCTAACAAAATTTATTTTATTGGCTTTGTCATCAAACAAATTTTAACTGATAATAATTATGATAAAACTACCTAGGTGTTCCTTCTGAAATTTACACAATGTCACTCAAATATCTTATGTGATGTTTTCCTTAGTGAAAGCTGAATTGGGTCTGACTATTTAGCCTGAAGTGTCATAACATGCTATTTCATGTTGCTTTTTTCAGTTTCAGAAAGGTATTGTTCTTTGTAATATTTATTGATATAGAAAAACCAGTAAAATGATTTGAAGGTTATTTTCAACTCCCACCTTCCTTTCCAGAAGTCATTAATTACCATCACGATGCACAGTGACTATGTATTTTTGAAAATAAACATAACATTTTTTGAATTCTGTTTCTATAGTAAAACCTATGAAAACTTAAATTTCTTCTCAGAAGGAATACATGGTTTATAAAAATATAGTCCTTTAAAATAGAGGATTATTTTTTCTTTTTTTGGCACAAAGTTCTAAGCATGTAGCTTTCCAATTGTGTTTTACACAGCTTTCCATGGACCCGTCTGGGATAGCTGGGGAAGGATGGTGCTGACTTCCCATCTCACATGATGGTCTAGCCGTCTCTCGACAGAAACTCAAGAAGAGCCACCTAGATGAGGGTGGAGAAGGGGTGGCAGAACCATTCCGTCTGTCTTTTGCATGTCCTCCCTTTCTGTCCTGGCTAACTTGTGTTGTCAACTTGAAATGGCCTAGAGTCACCGGGGAAGAAGGAATCTCAATTGAAGAATTGCCTTTATCAGACTGGCCTGCGGCCAGCCACGTCTGAAAAGATTGTCGTTGTTGATGAGAGCTGTGGGAGAACCCAGCCCACTGTGACTCACACCACCTCTAAGGTGGGCCTTGCCCTGTGTGAGGAAGTGAACTAAGTGTGGACCTGAAAGCAAGCCTGTAACCTTCCTCCATAGGTTCTGCTTCAGTTCTCGTGCAGACGTCCCTCAGGGATGGACTGTGACCCAGAAGTATAAGATGAAAATGACCCCTTTCCTCCTCTAAGTTTTGGTCAGAATGTTTTGTCACAGCAATAGAAAAGCAAAGGAGGAACCCCTTCCAAACGATTTTGTATCCTTTGCTGTGGCCAAAAGGACTCAATAAAAACTACAATAGTGGCTTCATTCAAAATGTATATCCAGGAAAGCGTCAAAGGATAATTATTCAGAAAAGAAATGACAAGTCAATAAATCTACAGCTTAAAAAACATTGATTTAAATATGAATCTTTAATGATTGTGTCCCACTGTTTTTCTCTGCCATACTCCTAAAAAGTACTCCAGAGAATAGAATCTGATTTTTTAATGACAAATTTAAGTCACTACATCGTCGAAAGGTGAGGAGGTAACAAATTATAGACTAGTGCAAAAAGTAGGATTTCTCTCCAAAAAGTGCTTCCTCATCAAAGGTCAAAACCCGATGACTTACCATTTCCTTCAGCGATGGAAGACGGCTTGTGAAAGTTTTCACCCTTCCCAGCTCAGAGCTAGAATGTACTACAGGACAATTTTATTACAGCAGGTGGTCATGGGTGCATATAAAAGGAACCACCCCCCTTTTTCTCCCAGTATCACACAATATAAAACCCACGCGGTCAGTAATTGCTGCCCTGTCTCCCCACTGGCCACAAGAGGTCCTCACAGGTGGGACATCTCAGAAGCTGCCACCAAGTCTATAAACACTACGAAATGATTTTGCTCAAGCAAATCTTTCCTTCTGTACCTAGGGAAAAAAAAAAAAAAAAGAGGAGGTGGGGATTATACATTACTCCAAAGCCATGGTAAACACAGGAACAGGTTAAGAGCCGCCTGCCCTTCATTGTTTCAAAGTTGCTAACACGGACTTCCACCCTACACCCTGAAAGCTATGCTGTTTCATCTGCCTACACATTTCAACCAGTGCCCTGCTGCTACACACCAAGATCTCTGCTGTGGGCAACCTTGTCCTTCACCGAGTGGTCCATCAGCTCAGGATGGGACAGGTGGGAGCTGGAACTTAGGACCCACCTCTAGGAGCTGATCTTCACCCCCTGGGAAAGATGTTCTCACCACTTTTAGCGCCATCCCCTTCAAACACGGTCACTACAGATAAACATTTTTTTTTTCATAAATAAAAACTGAGGCATATTTGTAATATATTAAAATTTTCACCAACAAAGGTGTGTTAAAATCTTCAAGTTCTGTCATTCAAGTTCAATAAAGGCACACATATATTTTTTTTTCCTTCAGGCCTGCAAAGAATATATTTCCTGGCCAAAAGTCGCAAAAGTCATTTTGTGGGACTTCCTTCGACTTTCCTCCTCTTGGGATAGGTAAGTGCTCCTCCCGTGAATCAGTAGCTTGACTCTACCACCCAACGGATGTTTCTAGATAGATGGTTTTACATGGATTCCACAGCTGGTCAGGTCTGAGTAACAAGCCACAGCCACGCTAGCTCATTCACCCCAAGCCTGCTTTGGCTTTTTCTATCATGGCTTCTCATTGCCCAAGCGGCCTTTCCTGTTCCCGGGTTCTGAGGCCCGTCGCACCAGCCTCGGTGGGGGCTTGGGTGGCACGTCTTCAGTTAGACTGTCTTCCCTGCCTCGGCTGAACTGTTGGTCTTTGGAGAGCAGGGGCTGCCTCAGGACCCCTGGTGTCTGGGTGCCCCCCTCTTTACTGCGGGGTGCCGGAGGGGTGCTGGCCTGCACTCGGGCAGAACCCACATCCACCTCGTTCTTCCACTCCATTTTGTAGGCCTGGGAGGCTTTCTTGGAGAACTGATCTGGCAAAAAGCGCCTGGCCCGAGGCTGCAAATTGAGCACGGTGGTCCCGGCATCTGTGTCCGAGTCGCTGCTATTGCCATCTGTCACAGAACAAGAAGAGCAGTGTGGGCAAGCAGAGCATCACCGAGATAGCCCAAGTCACAGTGAAACCCCAGTGAGTCCCAGCCCCTCCTGGGGGCTCTGGGGGAGAAGGAAGCCAGAAGGCTCACTCTTAACCCGCCCTGAGTGGCCTTGAACATCTGTGTCACAAGAGTGTGCCCACGCTCATTTTTAAGCACTTACTTTAACTGCTAAATGCATGCGCCCACTGACTCCATCTCATCCTCTACTTTTACAGTGAGGTTAAAGGTCCAACAGATATTAGCAAGTAAGAAGTGGGGCTGGAATTCAATCTGAGAAGCTCTGGCTCTGCTCTCAGCTGCACCCAGGATCGCCGGCAAGTGGGCTCAGCTCCGCTTCTGACACTGGCAAGCAAACTAAGAAGTTTCTGCTATTTAGATACTTCCCTTCTTCTGGAATTTCACCTGCAGCCTCACTTTGCTTCTGATTTGCTTTACTGGCCCACAGAAGGACCAAAGCATCAATGTAAACTTCCTAAGCAAAAGGAAGAAGTGTGATTAGACCTTAGAGCCAGGTCTGGGTGCTGGAGTTCATGGGAGGGTCACTGATGGGACCCATCCCTTGGGTCCCATGCCTAGCTGGCATGATTAAAATTGAATGTTTCTGCCGGCATGCAGTGGTAACAAGACTGACAGTTACTAATAGTTACTCTCTTGCCTTCCATTTTCATGGCTTCTAGTTTCTGACCCCTCCCTCCATTGCCACAAGCAACCTTTAGACTGTCCCCATCTTGGTGAATTTCATAAACAAACAAGGGAGGTAGCAAAGGAGTTTAAATGGTTACATCCCATATTTTAATAAAACCGGATCCTAATGTAGTTCTGGAATTTACAGAAAAGAGCTTGTGTGTGTACATGAAGATTACCATCAAACAGAGAAATACCATCTATGGTTGAGTCTATGAAAATTCATTAGAATTACTGTATAAATGCAAATGTTTATACATCTTCAGATTTATAACTTTGCATTTACAGCTTAGTAAGTCCGTAGTCAAAGGATTTGCTTTTGCTGTACTTAAAGGATCATTGTGAAAAACAAGTGACTGGATTATTTATAATATGGATAGAGATCCATTAAACAAGGTCACAATGCTAATAAAAGGGAGCCTGTTGCTACTTGAGATTCACAATGATTGAGTTCTTCCGTAATGAAGAAAATCAGAACGTTTTATTTTCACAGCATTAGCAAACAGACCGAAAAGCATTTCTTCTCCAGACAGAAGCATTACCTTCAGTTGAAATTCTTTTCTTCTTCTTCTGGAGTGTCTCTGGAAGCTTTGTATTTTTAGGTAAGGATAAATACCGGGAGGTTGAAGTGGAAGCCTGTTAAAGAAATGGAAAACGTTATTCAGATGACACAAATGCCACTTACTGTGTACTAGAAGCTAAACTTGGTGGCAAAACTAGACTTTCAAAATATAATTTTTGTCCTTCATTCCAAAGTTACTTTTCTAGATACTGTAACCATTGTGCTTCCAACAACCAAATGCCTTCCAAACCCAATGCAGGTCAATAGAAAGGGAGGAAAATAAATGGGGCCATTAGGAAGGTGTGGAAGCTACTGGTTCTTAAAGGAAACGGACATCCTTGTCCATAGAGGTTATTCATAAGAAAAATGTGGAATATCTGGGGAAGAACATACATTAAAATGTGGTAATTTAAGTTTCACCTATTTCAATTAATCTTAAAATGGCAGAATAACACATTGTTACAAAATCAAGTTACTAAGATTCTGAACATCTGTCTTTCGTTTCTGGAATTGGTTTTTAATGGTTGCTGCTGCATATCACACATTGAACAGTCTTCTGTTCAAATACTTCTGATGATCCAATACAGAACTTTATTGAAAATAAAAGTCTGCCATGCTATATCAGTCATTGACTCTGTCCTGTCCATGCTTTACCTCATCTGTTGAGAAGTCCCTGCCCAGCTGGACTGTGGGGCAAATTGCACTGTGAATGCTCACATCCCCTGGCACTCTGGGCTTCCTGTAGTTTTCCAGAGAAGGTGAGACCTGCCTGCCATCAGCAGTTTGTACCCTGGTACCTATTCTTGGAAGGCTCAAATGTAGTCATGGACCACATGACTATCAAAGGCCAGTGGAATGTGCAGCAGTGTTCTCTGGAGCTTGTCACCTAGCAACAGCACAGCTCTCCTTGTCTATACACACAACGATGTTCACACCACAAAAATCACTCAACAGCACATCCTCAGAATGTATCTCAGTGGTCTACACATGTCACTGTATCACTACCCATTCGTAGAAACTGGGTCCAGCCATTCTGATTAAAACTGTGTCTTGATTGTGTCTGCCAACTTCCTTCTTTGGTTTTTAAAACATGTTTTTTCCTCCAAAGCACTTACTGCACTCAAGTATAACATAATGTATATTTGATTGGTTTTCTTCTCTACTAGCATAAGAATCTTAAGCATAGGAATCTATACATTTTACTCTCCAGTGAATTCCATGTGTCTAAAACTGGCAAGAATATAAAATAAGTAGAATAATGTAGGCCTACAGACCCTGCACATTGGAGGTAGAGTCAGGAGGACCAGGAGTTCAAAAACATCCTTGGCTATATAGTGAGTTCAAGTCCAGCCTGGGTTACATAAGATTTGAGTACATGAAACAAAAACAAAAGAAATAAAATAAAAAAGGAATTAACTATTACTTTTTTCTTAAGATATGTCTCACTCTATTGCCTAGGCTGGCCTCCAGCAGCTCTACTTCAGCCTTTCAAGTAATTGTGGCTATAGGATCGCGACTCTACACATGGCAAAATTACTTTATTAGCTATTCCACCCTAGGACGTCTGGGAATTGGCCTTCAGCGGCCATTCAAACAGCAGAGCCAAAGGTCCTTCCTGTCAGCTGGTCAGTGGAACAGCTGAGGGCTCTGCCCTTGGAGTCCTTGTGCTTCTGAAGGCAACAGTTAGTTACCCTGCGCTCCCGATTCAAGCTGTTGTCCTTCCTGAGGCTCTCCCGAAGGCTGTGCCGTCTGCGGATCAGGATCTCCTTGGCTTGTCTCTCGCTTGTGTCCGCTGTCAGGTTGTGTCTGTTATACGACAAGGTCTGAAATGACAAGGCACACAGGGCATTTTTTTTTTCACCAAACAATCCATCATGTCTCCTCAGCTTAAAACTTCACTTTTCTTTGAGTTTACATCCGTGAAGTCAGTTTCTCTGTGGGACAAAACCAAAACTAAAATCCAGAGTCTCAAAGTTTAACACTCTGCTTTTGAAAGAATTCATCCTTCTGCAAATCAGTGTGTTTTTTTCTCTGTTGCAAAGTAACTTTGTAAATTAGAAAAGTAATTTAATTTGTGAACACCTCGTCTGCTTTCTATGCATCCAGCTGTGATTAATAGTAAAACAAAAATCATTTTCAAACACAGTCTCTATTGAGTCGAGAGATTGCTGACATAAATGAGTCACCCTGACACTTGGTGGCACCACATCCTCGGACTAATATCAGGGCTGTCATTAGGAGATGTCCTGTCACCACGAGCAACTATCACCTCTAAATGAGGGCTACCCAGATCATACCACATGCAGCATAATTAGTACTTAAGTTCATTTCCTGACAGAATTGGCATGGATGTCTTGGAAATATCTCACGTCCCGAAATGTACTAGGTCCTGCAGGCCAATGAAAAGGTGACACAGTGTAGCTTCTACTTCTGTCTCCAGAAGTTTCTGATCTAGCTAGACATCTGAGTCTAATAAAACCATGAAAGCAAACGCTCAATTGGCAGCACTGCATAAACCCCGTGTGTTATCTGATCTAGAATAGGGCTGGGATAGTATGATGATTCTTGGCAAACACTGAAATATGGGAGGCTGTGGGCCAGCTAGCAGGAGGCAGGGGCTGGCTCCAAGTATAGAGAGATAGTACACAGTACCCAGGCCATGGCCTGAGCACAGAATCTGTTGTTCTATGAAAGTCTGAAGTGAGTGGATGGATTGAATGTAGGATAATGTTGGATAAAGTGGAGCTTGGTAGTAGTGGCCCCAAATTATCCTGAAACGACTGGTGTTTTGTTTCATTTTAAACAGGAGGCTGCTGGCCTTGAAAGAGCTTTAGAGAAACGGGGTGGAATAAGGCTAACACGGATGAAATGGTGACAGCCTGATGCAATGCCTGCTTAGTCTACAGGGGTAAACGCTGAAGAAATGAGGACGATCTCTGCCAAGCTGAGTGTGCCTCAGTTTCTTCATCTGTGAAATGGAGACAACAGCCTAAAACCTAGCACAAGGAGAGACTAAAGGAGTCAAGAAAAAAACAGTGTGCTAAAGGACACTCGGAAAATGGCAAGACTCTAAAATATTAGCTTATTATTAACATATAATATGCATGTTATTAGAAAATGATGGGAATACAGTGAAAGAAATGACTCAGAAGATGTGAAGACAGAAATTCTAGCACTTCATGAAAACAAAGTTGATACATTTACAATCTAAGCTATAAGACTTCTTTAAAGATTGTATTTTATTATTTCTGTGTGTGTATGTGTGTGTGTGTGTGTGTGTGTGTGTGTGTGTGTGTGTGTGTGTGTGTGTGTCTATGTGGGGGTATGTGCACATGTGTGCAGATGCCCCAGAGGCACTGGATCCCTCTGGAGCCGGAGTTACAGGTGATTGTGGGTCACCCTGCATGGGTTCTGGAAATAGAGCTCAGGTCCTCTGGAAGAGCAGGGCACCCTCTTGACTGCTGAGCTATGGCCCCAGCCCGACAAGTATTTTCAGATATAAAAACAGTCAGATCACTTCTTCATAATTGGCCAGCACATCACTCCTTATCTTTAAAACTTAAACATGAGACAGAGCCACCAGGCCTTTGATGCTTCAGCTGAGGTGTCTGGAAGAACTTAGAGAATCTCCAGGATGGGGCCTGAGAGAACAAGAAAGGATGCCCCGTGTGGTGCTCACAGGGGCAGGTAATGCTATGGAGGTCTATTTACAGTTCCCAGCTGGAAAGCATGTTTTCAGCCAAAATCAAGTAAGTATTTTGGTGCATAAATTTTTCCTACCCGCTGACGGATTTGATAGAGATTCCTTGATAGTATCTCTCTAATTTCATCCATTTCACCAGGTGTGAGCTTCCTTATTTTTTCTTCACGGCAATCACTGCAAAAGTTTAAGAGGGAAAAGTATTTTACTTTTTGAAGTATTTCAGAATCATTGAATTTATTCTTTGGTATTATAACATCATTACTTCACAGTAAGATTTTAGTTTAAAAAGAACAATTAGGAATTGCTCAATGTTTTCAAACATTCTAAATATTTTTTTTAAAATACTCAGTTTTAGAATAATTAAGTTTCTGAAACTTATTTCCATGGTAAAATCATTCCTAATAAGTTTAACTGTGCATAAGTTTCCACAGAGTCTACTATTACATCATGCTCCCCACAACCCCAGGGTCTTGTGTCGTAGCCCAGGCTGGCCTGAAGCTCACCATCCTGAGACCTTGGCCCTGGTACACTGTGACTACAGGTGTGAGTTACCACAGCCAGCTTCTCATGTGATTAGTTTTAAGAGAATGACTCAGTGTTACCGATTCATTATTGCTAGCAGAAAGTAATGCAGAAGTGTCTGTTCCAATAGAAATTTGGTTAGCTGTATTTTATTTTTTTTTTTTTTTGGTTTTTCGAGACAGGGTTTCTCTGTGTAGCTTTGCGCCTTTCCTGGAACTCGCTTTGGAGACCAGGCTGGCCTCGAACTCACAGAGATCCGCCTGGCTCTGCCTCCCGAGTGCTGGGATTAAAGGCGTGCGCCACCACCGCCCGGCTAGCTGTATTTTATTAATCCCCATCACCAAGGCTTGTGGATTGAGTTCTTGTGGCATGGCATGCCAGCCTCTACAGTCTTTAACACTCCCGAGCTGTTCCCAGTGTGCAGCCAGAGCCTAGTCACTGCAGCTGGAGTCCACATCTGTTTCCCCCAAGCCTAACTACACTACTGTGAATAGTCGATAAGAAAACAGCTGTATTCTGTGTATACTCACGGTAGCAAACCTAACACACCTTGAAAACCTTCCATGTGAAAACAAGGCTGAGAGAATTTTACCTCACTTTCAACCGGTACTGAACTTCCCAAGGCTAATTTGACAACAGTGTGGGAATCCTAAACATGACTGCAACTTTGGACTTGCCATTCTCATATAGCACAACATACAGCATAATGTAACATAAATATGACACACAGACTATCCAACCAGAGCTGTATCTAACCAAATCTCATTCCGCTCTGAGATCTTAAGCCACCAACCGAGGACTTACACCAGCAATGCTATTATTATTCTCATAATACTATTACTATCACAGGTTTCAAAACCACACCAGTGCCTCCTTATTGTTATTAGCTTCACTCTGCAAAGTGATACTCACTTAAGAGACGCAAACGAGGGGACGGTACTTATCATTCCAGTCTCCGCCATCTCAATGGCATGTTTTATCTCAAGCTTTTTATATAAGGACACGATGCTAGACTTGGGTTGGTTTTCCCGAATCAGGAGCTTCCGAAGGTATTTGTCATCAAATTTCTTAAACCTATAAATAAGTAAAGTCGGAATTTAAATTAATGAATAGAACTCATTGACTAAGAAAAGTACTCCCCAGTAAAAACATAGCAAAGTTAAACTGATCTTACCATGTGTTTATTTTTATATATACTTTCGTGTGTGCAGATATATGTGTATATATATACATTGTAACTAACAAGCATCCAAACTCCGTGTGTTCAAACTGAACCAATCTTCCTAGCCCTCCCCCGACCTACACCAGGTCAAACTCTTCAGTGTCCTGTGTAATCTTTCCCTTCTATATTTCATGTTATGGGCTGAAGTGTCCCAGCAAAAGTCCCTCGGCTGAATTCCTGCTTCCTAGTGCATCAGACTGAGACCATATTTGGAGATACGCTCTTCACAAGTGTGATTAAGTTGAGATGACGTCATTAGGGTGGGCTCCGCTTAGTGTGACTGGCACACTGGCAAGAAGGGTTGACTTAGTCACAGACACACAAAGAGACCGGAGTGTGAAGAGTCACAGAGAACACAGCCCTCTGCAAGCAAACACCAGCACCCCCTTCCCTTAGAGCCATGGAGGTGGATGGACACTGTTAACACCCTGCTCCTTGACTTTATACTCTTCATAAAAGTGATGCAAGACATTTCTGTTGTTTAAACTACCTACTGCATACAGCCTTGACTGAACTAGCATTCCATACCACTCAATGAGCCATCATTTTAAGTTCCACCATCAAATGGATGCATGCAAAAATGTGATCGCTTCTCACCACCTCTGGTGCCATTACTCCGGTCCCGGATGCCATTGATTTTTTTTATTTTCCTGGACTCTGATACTGAATTGGGTACCTAACACGTGTCCCTGCCCCTACAGTGTATTAGCCCAGAAACCAGAGTCTCCAGTTGAAATGTCATCTGAGTAACAGCACGATGGTACACACTTGAGATGCTTGAGCGTGGGTCTGCCCTTCAGTTCAGTGCGGCTCCTTGTGGGGTCCTTTCTATCTCTGACACTTGTGACTTGTACTCTGAGGATCTTTATATTCATTGTCCCCCCCTACTGGGAAGGTTTTCTTATATAGCCTTTACGTCTGTCTCTCAACAACATTCAGTAGTAATTATCTCAAAAGAACCTCCACAAGCCAGACCTCTGCCCCCCCTATGCTTCCAAGGCAGCTACTTCTATCTTGTTCTAGTTGGACACTCCTTTATACTCCATCTCCTCTCTCACTTCTCAGATGTATCTTACTGCACACCAGCTCTCATTTTCTGGCATGGTGTGTAATGTTCTTATTCATCTTATAGCCTATCTCCTAGCAGTCAAATGTAAAGTCAGTATTACAGGGAGTATTTTATATATATATATATAAAATACAGTATTACTCCACCCCTGTATCACCAATGCTGAGAGCTAAGCCAGGCACAGTGTAAGCATAGTGGCCCCAGTGCCTTCCTGTATCCACATCTGCCAAAACCCAGCAATAGCTTTCTGCCGTGGCCTAGATGACCCTTGCCTTTTTCCTAGTCACTGGGATCAATAACATTACTTTGTTTTGATGAATAGCCTCCTACTGACATAATGACCAAAGAGGCTTACTACTGAAGCCTGGATCCTGTATGTCCATATCATCATAGCCACACACCATCATATCTATGAAGTGGTATGAACCAACGTGAATAGCATGTGGATGAAGTAGTTATTTTACCCCCCACCATATGAGACAAGCTCTGGCAGAATCAACTGACTACCATCCAACCCACAGCATCAAGAACAAGCCCAAGCCCAGCCCAGACTAGCCCCGCCCATCCTAGTCCAGCCCACTTGGAGCTTCTTGACTCACACAATTTAATAATAAATGACTGCTATTTTGATCCACTGGCTTTGGGGGACGGCTTGTTATGTAACACCACATGCCAGTATATGAGTAAAACAACATGCAATAAATGTTCCTTGAGAAAGAAAGAAATATGTAGCATTGATTCACCATCAACCCAAAGAAGTTTACTGGCACACCTGTGCCATGAATGAAACCAATGTTAACCAACCTTCTTGGCACTGGTCCTTTGTTCTAAATACTGGAGGGATCTGAATAATTAAAGCACTACCCTGAATACACCGTGCTAGTGACCCACTACTATATGAAAGCTGGGCCTACTCTTTCCGATGTTTATTTTGAATTTTGTGTTAGGCTCCCAGAGCCAAGATTCTCAACAGTAATACCAAGTCTCTAGCGCGTCTCATATAACTATTATTGTTTTAGACTTTTCCTGAAGATAAACAAACAGGAGAGCGAACAGGGATGGGAGAGGCAGCTGTTCTCTCTTGCATGGGGAGTGTGTGTTTTCTTATTGCTTGATTTCCCTCCCCAACCCTCTGCCAAGCTCCACATAGGTGTTCTCTTTCACATCGTGAGACTCCCGCTTGCTGGGCCTGAGCAATGCCTCCACTGTGTCACCTTTCATTCTGTTCGCAAGTGATCAGGTGCCCCAAGAGTTCTCTGCCAGGGCCAATGAGATTCTCTCACACCAGGGCTATGGAGGATAGGGAAAGATATCCAGCATGCCTGAACTGGTTTCTTTCTGTACGTTCTTTTGAGTAGTGTCCCCGGTTCTGTACACACCAAAGAGGTCATGTGCAGAAGTGATTTGAAAATGGTGTGTGTCCACACCCAGTCTCCCATACCCACTTTTCTGGTGACTGTGCGGTATACATGACAATCAAGAAAATGCTTTGAAGTTGGTGTGATAATTGAACATGGCAGTCTAAAATGCTTGTGGGTTAATGAAGACTATTCATTCCTGATAAAAAGTCAAATGGCAGTTGCTTCCAAACATAAGCCAAATGTTTGCACTGTTCTTATTAATGTTCACAGTCTGGCTATGGCTTCCTTGGGAGGTCTGCCTGCAAGACATCCATGGACCTCAGAGACACTAGCTGCCTGAGACACAGGACACATGTACCTCCTCTGACTTTGACCTGAATTCCACTTCAAACCCACGTGATCACAGCCTCACCCCCTTCCCCTTCTTGGGCTGGTCAGGATTTTTCATCAACTCGACACAAACTAGAGCTATCAAGGAAGAAGGAACCTTACCTGAGAATGTGCCTTTGTAAGATCATTTTCTTGATTAATGATTGATCTGGTGGAGACCAGTCAAGTGTGGGTTGGGCCACCCTTGGCAGGTGGTCCTGGTGGCATTTAAAAAAGCAGGCTGAACCAGCCATGAAGAACAAGCCAGGAAGCTATGTTCCGTCATGGTCTCTGTTCCTGCCTTGAGTTCCTGCCCTGACTTCCTCCTCAGAGTCCACTGCAAGCTATAAGATGAAATAAACCCATTCCTCCACACATTGCTTCAGGTCCTGGTCTTTCTCACAGCAATAGACAGCCAAATAGGACAGCATCTTTTTTCCTAACAGTGAGTGCCCAGGAGCTGCTGACCTAGTGTGTGCTTACACATGTCTGCATTCTCCCTACTTGGATGCAGAAGGGTGGGAGAAATGTGAAACCTGATCTTCACTTTTGAAAGGAAACACGCTAGTCTGCATTAGGCCTCTCACTCATCACATTGAGAGGGTACTGATGAGAATCTATAGAAAGGAAAATGTGATTGGGTCAAAAGGAAGAAGATAAAACAATGGGAAAAGAGGAGAAGAAAGTCTGTTTTATTGGTTTGGCACATAGAAGAGCCCAGCTATGTGAGGAAATTCCTAGGGTGTACAGCAGAGTTGGAGAGAGAAGGCAGGCACAGTGGGCTGGCTTTAATCCCACAGTCAGAAAAAAAAATGTACATTTCACAAGAGCAATAGCAATTTGTTCCGAGTTTTACAGTGCAGGTTTAGTCTGCTTTATTACCTTGTGCTCCCAGGTGGTTAACTGGGTATCCTGCCTGTACAAAAATATCTTTCCTTGATTTATGAAGTAAGGCTAAGCTCCAGGGACCTTCTAACATCCGTGAACATGAACAGTGCTGTAAGCTTTGTGACTGCTCTGGTACTAATGTCTTTGTAACTCACTGAATTCCTTAAGGATCTCACCCCTCCTTCCTCTTTCCTGTCTCTCTCCTCTCTCTCTCTCTCTCTCTCTCTCTCTCTCTCTCTCTCTCTCTCTCTCTCTCACACACACACACACACACACACACACACACACACACACACACAAACACACACACACTCACACACCTGCTTATTATATGACTCTATTATATAATTTTACATATACAACTCTGTGACATATACATCTTATGTAGCCTAGTACTATGCTACACATATGAGCACACAAAGAACTATTCAACATTCTTCCATTTCAAATACATAGATCAATAACCAAGTTGATATCAATGAGTGAGTAATAGTGTAAAATTTCTGTGAGCAAGTAAGAAAAGCAAGAGGAAATATCTTAGCACAGTCTAGAACGTGTCCCTCTGGCCTCACATTCCAGCTTAAACTCTGCTTCTGTCAGAAGTCTGGCCTGGTTAATGAGAGGTGCACAAATGCTTACAGCTCTCTCTATAAGAAAAGGGGTCCGATGATAGCATTAGCCAGTTCCCAACACATGGCTGTTCCTGATAACCATCATGGATGGCACCCATTGTGTCCAGGGGAGAGGTGCCCACCATGCACTCCCATTAGCTGGTGAGGGGTGGATCCTAGGCCCCACGTTTCAAATGTAGCTGTCAAAATCCCTTCACTTCTCAATCTCATCACCCTGTCTGGTTGATTGTTCCCATCTCAATTTATGAAGACAACCATGAAGACAGGTACTAAATTGTATCTGACCACCACACACAGCCTTTTTTTTAAAAGTAAATTCTCGTGTGTATGTGTGTGTGTGTGTGTGTGTGTGTGTGTGTGTGTGTGTGTGTGTGTGTACTTTCTATAAATGTAATCTTTCAGGTGCACGAATCCCTCAATGTAATCTTGTGTTTTTTTCTACTATTTTTAATAGGTTTACTATTATTCTCCGGTGCTGTGAGTCTCTCCCTTTCCTATGTCCCTTACCACTGTGTGACAGAATAGACAGGAATGGAACCCTTAACTTTTAACTCATTGACTGGGACTCTTGGTTCTTTTGCAGTGAGGAATGGCCGCAAAGGTTGACCCTAGCGATGGGATCTGCATGGAAAAGCTGTTTGACTGCTTTTGAGGACCTTGGTTAGAGGTGGCAGAAGATGTCTTGTCTTTTAGTAGTCTTTCTTCCATCCTGCAGCCTGAAATGGGTGACACCGAAGGAGCAGTTTTGCCCCAAGGGCAAGCATGGAGGCGACTCTTAGTGAATGGCTCTACCCTTGGGAATGTGGAGTCAAGCTTTCATGGGCTAAGCCTGAGTCTCTGACTTCAGGCTATTCACACAGGGAAATAAACTTTTGCCTCATTTGTAACAATTTTATATCTCTGTCACAGCTGAGACGCTGTTGTAGTTTTCACCGTCACTAAGTAGCCAAGGTTGTTGACCTTGAACTCATGTAGAGCTCCTACCTTAGCCTCCAGTGTTCTGGGATCATAAGTATATATCACCATGCCTGTCTATAGCTAAGTTTCACCTTAAAAGGACACACAGTAACACAACATAGGATTCCCAGCCTGGAAGACAGCACAGCTCCTATATTTTGTTTCCAGGAGTGACCCAGAGCCACTTTGATAGAATGTTGCAAGGCGTCTTACTTGTCTCTCCAGAAGTTGTGACCCCAGTGTCCACAAACATCTTCAATCCCGGTCTTCACATGATCAAAAAACTAAAACAGAAGAAAAGACAAGCCAATCAATTCACTTTTTCTGGCAGCTGATCACTTTCATTCTTTTGGCGTCATACCTAACTCCAATGATACCCACAGTTGTGGTGATACATTGTGTACCCTAGTAAAATTTCTCTGAAGATCAGAGAGGAAAAGGAATAAACCACTGCCAGGTCTTACCTCTAAGACTCCTTAGCCTGAACAAGATTCTAGTTCCTGTCTCCTCACTCCTCATGTATCTTTCTCTGCCCAGCCATCACTTCCTGGGATTAAAGGCATGTGTGCTTCCCAAGCAAAGGCATGAGATCGCAAGTGCTGGGATTAAAGGTGTGTGCCACCACTGCCTGGCTCTGTTTTTCTCCTAAACTGAGTCAGTCTCATGGCTTTGAACTCACAGAGATCCAGATGGATCTCTGCCTTTTGAATGCTAGGATTAAAGGTGTGTGCCCACTCTCTGGCATCCGTGTTTAATCCACTGGCTTGTTCTATCCTCTCATCTTCAGCCAAATTTTATTAGGGCACACGATGTATCACCCCACATAGTTTGTTTTGTTGAAAGCCATAAGCCAACCTTTTCGTTTTCGTTTCTGTTTTTCTGAGACAGAGTTTTTCTGTGTAGCTTTGGCTGTCCTAGAACTCACTCTGTAGACCAAGCTGGCCTCGAACTCACAAAGATCCGCCTGCCTCTGCCTCCAGAATGCTGGGATCAAAGGCGTGCGCCACCACTGCCCAGCTATAAGCCAGTTATCTATCTTCAATTGTTTGCTTGTTAGGCAATGTTTTCATTACTTTGATCATCCTAAGTTTGATCATAACTTTCAAAATTACAAGAAATGGGTAGTAGAAACCTTTTCAGGTTGAAGGCTTTATTTTCCCTCAGCAGGTTCAGGACTTTAGCAGACGTGGACCATCACAGACTTTCTGAAGGCCTCCCCCACCCCCCAGAGCCTTCTGCTGTTCCTTTCCCCTCTAGGAATGCACACTAGTGCGGAACTGTTTCTCTGATTACTCCACATTTCCATTATTAAGCTGTTCTTCACTCGGCACCCACCCGGCAGTGGATCTCTTCACTGACGGCTTGCTGCTTCTTATTGGATCTCTTAACATCAAGGAACTCCACCAGTGGTCTGATGGTTATCCCCTGCACAAAAATATGGACATAAATAAATAAATCTTCTCATAAGAGAAAAGTTCAACCATGGCTTAAAATCACCTAAGAATCGCCGACCACCAACAAAAGCTAGCCTGTTGCCAAAAGTTAAATAGTAAATGTAAAATTTTGTTCTTCTTGGCTCCCTTTCCCCAGATACCTTATTTTCAAAAGACCATTTTCAACATAAAACACACACCAAAAAGGGAAGAAACTGAAAAGTAACTGTAAGAAACAATAAAGGTCAGTGGAATCGGCTACTTACTGTATCACCCAGAGAAAAACCCTCCAGTGAGTCATTTGCTCATTCTAATGAGACAATTTTCACCAAGCTGCTTCTGCATGCCTGTCAGGGATTTTGGGCATCGGAACACAGAGATGGATGGATGGACCTTGGCTCTAGGACTTTGGGTCTAAAAGAAAGTCATCTCTGTCCTAACATAGTTACAAAGTAGGCAAAAGAAGAGTGACAGACGACACAGGGAGAGGGCTAGGAAGCGCCCAGCAGGAATCTGGAAAGGTGTTGGCATCATCTCCTGGCAGAGACCTCAGAACAGCCAAGGAGCTGCCCAGGAAACAGTACAAGGCAGTCCAGGCACACTGAGGAGTGAGCTCGGGAAATGGAGAAAATTGCAAGCTGTTGTTGAATACACTAGAGGCGGGGGAGGGAGACAAAGGAAACTCCATACTCTGAACAAAGATCTCTGCAAAATGTCGTCGTCAACATCTCCCTCAACAATGAAACATTAAAAGCACCTCCATTAGAGGCACAGAGGGCAGAGGTCACTAGGTTCTGCTATTCCGCACAACTTTGTTTGTTGTTTTCCAAGCAGAGTCAACAGACCAAAGGCA